CTTTGCTAAAAGGTGAACACTTTTGCTTGGAAAAGATGAAAACACAGCACTTTACATCCAACGGGTGACACAAATCTCAGTAAATTTTGCTGCTAATGCGCACGTTTCATAAACATCTTTAAAAAAATCAATGGCTAAGATAATTTGGTTGTGTGAAGACCATAAAAACCAGGGAAGACTAAGAGGAAAGAGCCATTTCACTGCACAATGTTTATGATTCAAGAAGCCTTGAGCAGTTAAAAATATATACTATTATGGAGCTGCTTACTTAGGAATCTTAACAAATAATATGTTCTAAAAAGAGAATGCAATTTTTGAGATTACTCACATTACACATCTCATGCAAATGTTTATTTTTATAGTTTCAAAAGTATTAAATCAGGTGGCTGTATGAATAGCAATTACATAAAAATGATCAATAAGGAAAATATTAGTTTGAGAAGACTAATAAATAAGCCTGCAGCCATTTTTGCTTTGATCAACAATACAGCCATTTACAAGAAGGAAAAAAAAAATACTATTTTTAAAGCTGTGGATTTTTCAATATTTATTTTTCAACCGCCATTTACCTTGCATGTTGTAAATCAAAATGCTAATGCCCTAAGATCATTCCATTTCACAACCACATTAGACAGAAAATATTCTGAAAAAGAATCAGACATAATTTTGAATTAAGAACCTAAACAGCCAATACTATGATGAAAACTAAATGTAAATATAATAGCTAGAAAGAGATGGTATTCCTACTTCTAGCCATGACCACATCAATGCCAAGATTAGGAGATATTGGAAGATATGATTCAGTATCCTGTGCCTGCCCTTGAGGGCATATTTTCAGATATTAAGGTTATTGTTAGAATTGGGTCAATAAAATAACTTCTTCTCAATGTTAACAATTTTCCTATGATCCTTTAGACATCTACGTTTATGAGGAAAAATTATAAAGTGAGCAATCTCTTCATAGACCAGTCAGCTTGTGTATTTAATGTCAAGAAAAGCATAAAACTTAGAAGGCTCATGAGGCCTTATCTAGAGTGTTACTAATCCTGTAGTAGGGCTTGGCATCATAGTTCAAAACCGAATTTCAAAATTTTAACAGTTTACATTAGAAAACTGTTACATAACGACTAAACTTATAAAAATCCATATATGTACCTAAATTGGTGTGGGGGATGTATGCACGTGTGTGTGTGTGTGTGTGTGTGTGTGTGTGTATGCCCACGTGCATTTTTCTAGTACTCCAATTAAAGTTACAGCTTTTGATTACATTGCAATGAATTGAAAACACATTCTGTATGCTTCAACTTCAACTCTGTTGACTATGAAAAGTATGTTTATAAAGAGAGACGACCTGCTGAAGTCACCCAAATCACAAAGGAAAGTTATTTTTTCTGTCAGAATTGCTTATTAAATAGGTATTGCTTAGGTTGTGATTTATATTTTCAAATAGAATTTGGGGGTTTGGTCCCACTTACTAAGAGAATGAAAGATATCTGTGCGTTAAAGATAATGGACAAAATGACAATTTTCAAATCTAAAGCTTGAGAAAATAGAGGTGGTGTATGGCCTCCTTTCGTGTTTTACACAATTTTCAGAGTATTTACTTAATGCTGAATTAATTTTCAAGTGCAGAAATATACATATAAAGTGGTTTTATGATTCTTTCTAAGCTGATGTATTTTGCCTGTTAAAAATTATGCTGCTCAATTAGTGTTAGAGGCCTTATGTTTGGTAATTACGAGTGTCTGGGCTATATGAGTCTCTATATATGTGTGCACTTTGTTCCAGTTTTTTGATTCTTGATCCAAATTCTCCATGTATAATTGTATCAAATATTTTTTAAAAAGTAAAGGGGTCAAAGAAGGTTGTTGAATATCTGAGAATTCTAAATAACTTAATATGTACTTAAAAAGTACTGGGCTGTTTTGAACATGATGATATTGGCATGTCTGCCTTTCAGCCTGACTCCTCCACTCTAGTGTTATGGAAGTCTGTTGGAAACATTTTTAATAAGCTAAGTTGTTGCACCTTGCAAAAAAAGCCTCCACTCTGAGAAACGGGGCCTTATAGAGTGGGAATGTTTTCATACTGGGACTACTGAGGTTTTGCAGATGTGTGCATCTGTTCCATTTAAGGTGCCCTTAAATGTGTTGAATGTAATGTGTTGAATGTTCATGTGTAATTGATAAAGTATTTATATGTATGTGCATAAGATTGTCTCAAGATGTATTCTCAGGAGTACTGTTACCTGGAGTTTGAAAGAATAACTATTAAAAAAAAAACAGTTGGGGAAGATCAGAAAAAAATTCAAGATAACAATTTTTTGTAATGAAAATATTATTGAGTATATGACTAAAAATTATTGTATATGATAAATACAGATTGGTCATACTAGATTACTTCTTAAGTTTTGATGCTTAATGATATTTATCTTATTTAAAGGAAAATCAACACAGGTACCTACCACCCATGTATAAAAAATTGGACTGAACCAAGAGGTTGCTTCTTCTGAAATTATCTTTTGAGAGACCTCGGAATAAACATGTATCATCCATTATAGTGGGTATAGATTTATACTTCTTGGATTCAATTAAAGCAGTTCAAATCCTGAATACGGCATTTTCTATAACAAAACATTTTACTTTCATTTTTCAGTATTTGCTGCTTTTTATAATTCTATTAGATAAGTTATTTGATTTTTTTTCCAAAAAGGAAACTGAGTTATTGAGTGCATTGGGAGAAGTCACTGAGAACCACAGTATCAAAAGGCATAATTGGGCATGACAATAGTGAAGGTAAAAAAAAAAAAAACAAGTGTATGGTGTTTGGATGTCTGGTTAGGGCCTGTTGTACAGGCTGGTACTAACTGGCTTGCTCTTTCAGGCCTGCAAGAGAACATTAGGCTGGGTGACATCTCTCCTTTCTTTAGTATCTGTCCCGTTAGTCAGTGAAGAACATTCTTCGCTCTGCTGCCTAGCTCTAAGCCCATCTAAGATGAGACGAGGATATTTAAAGGGACCAACAGGGAAAAAGGGGTGATAAATGGAATTATAGTCCAAAATGCAAATTAAATACCCTTCCTCAAGTTATACAGGATACTTTATGAAGTCTCTGGAATTTGCTGCTATCACACCGAGTTATGCTGTTGCCCTATGACCTCATACTTCCAATTCCATGGCCTTGTCTTGGCAGTGAGCAGAAAGTCCCACTTCCTCATTACTTTAGTGGGTCTAAACTGCAGCATTTCAGAAACAAAGTTTGGTTTGACGCTCAGGACAATAAAAACAAGGGCAGAATGTATTTGGAAAAGCTTACGACAAATTTGCTTATATTATTTCAGGATAGTTTAGCATTACAGATCAATGTACCTCCATATTTTTCAATAGCCACTGTGACTGCAGGATGCAAATCCTTTATTAGCCATTTTATAGGAAAACAAAAGATTGATTACACAGCCAACTTCCCTCAGATGACTTTGAAGTCTGTTATGAATACTGAATGACCAAAGAGCATGGAAAAAAATGCATATGAATAAATACTGAAACGTTTATGAAAGATATTTATGAAAGTTATTAAGACCTCTGTGTTTGAATATGCACATATAATAAAATAAAGCTAAAAACATTCAAGATGCCTAATTAAGTTTCATTTCTCATTTCTCGACATAGGGAATAGGTTAGCTCATTCAGAAAAGTATTCAGTTTGCGTGGGTGTGCCTTGTTGTCTCTTTTTAACCCCCACAGTCTGGCTCGAAGTCACCTTTTACTTAGACACTCTCCATTTCTTCCCTCCAGCTCCAGTTGAGCTCCATTTTACTCAAGCTTTCCACCAATATCCTTCCAAATAAAGCAGGATGGGCCACTTGGGAAAATGGGTACCCAGCTTGATTTCTCTGCTCAGATTGTGACCTGCTGGAATAACTGGTAGATTTCCCGGGAGGAACGTGAGCAAACTGGCTGCCCTCTGAATGTGGCCAGAACCACCATGGAAGCCAAGTTACCATCAGCTGGCTTTTGTACAGAGTAGAAGTGCCCATTCCCTGCAATCTAAGCTATGCTCTTGCTAAATCCTTTTTTTTTTTCCCCCCTCATGTGGTTTAATTTCGTCTGGCCCTGACTCAATGACCCTAGACACATTTATCAGAGAAACAGACACTCTTACCCTCTTCCAGATTGTGTCTGGATAGTAAATAAATGTATTACAATTTGTCACCGAATTACTGAGAAGGAAAAACAGAAGGTAAGGATGAGGGCTGGAAGCTCGAAGAATAGTAATAATAACCACCACATTTTGTACCGAGCACGATATCACAAGCTGGCTGCCTTACCTGGATTCACATATCTAATCCTTATAACAACCCTATAGACTGGGAGGATCCTAACAGATGAGAATTAGGAGGCAGGGGGGAAGTGACTGCCAGGGTACCTAGTTGGTACTTGGAAGGGAGAGGACTCTGCCCTAAATCTGACTCCTTCTCCTCTTCAGAGGAGTTCAAGGGGACGGAGATGAGAAGAAAGGATTTTATTTATTAGAGATCGTGAGCGAGAGAGCACAACCTTGTGGGGGATGGGGAGGCCGAGGGAGAAGCAGACCTCTGGCTGAGCAGGGAGCCCAAACTCTGGGCTGGAACCTGGGATCATGACCTTAACAAGGCAGATGCTTAACCTACTGAGCCACCCAGGCGCCCCTTTGTTGTGTTTTTTAAAGGCAAGCACAAGAGCTGGAGAGGAGAGGAAAGCAGTGCAGATGCAAACTACAGGGAAGCAAAAAGTGAAGTGAGAACAAGAGCTGGGGAAAGGGAACTGCAGAGGATGTAAATCAAAAAATTTACAAACTCCTCCAATTCCGTGAGGACTGGGAAATCTAAAACGCTTATATTACCAGAGGGAAGGTCAAAGAAAAGAACAGGCCTGCAGGCGAAGCCCCGCCCCCAAACCCCCGGGCGGACAGCCCCGACCCCCGGGGAGGCGGGACTTCCTCCCCGCGGGCAGCTGCTTCCGGTAGAGTCCGGAAGACTCTACGGGGAAGGGGCTAAAACTGCGCAGCCAATCGGGGCAACACTTTCGCCTTACCGGGGGACTCGGGGGTAACTTGCTCTTGGGAATCAGCACCATGGCGTCTGGCTGCAAGATTGGCCCGTCCATCCTTAACAGCGATCTGGCCAATTTAGGGGCCGAGTGTCTCCGGATGCTGGACTCTGGTGCCGATTATTTGCACCTGGATGTAATGGACGGGTAACTCCGCGGGGCTCGGGTCAGGGTTGCCGCGCGGGGCGGGCTCGGCGCACCTTTATTGAGTGCCTGTTGGGTGCACGGCTTCCCTGTACCGCGGAGCGCGTCACTCGAAACGCGATACTGAAAGAGGGACTGGGGTGAGAGTCCTGAAGGCCCTTCCTGGAGCGAACCCGAGGCGGAATCCTGGGCTGCGACAGCGTCCCAAACCTCCACCTTTTCCCCTCCCCCCACGTAACGTGTGGTCTCCCAGCACTTGGGACCGGGTGGCAGTCGTAAACCTCTAGGACACGTCTCTCATTTTCAGTTAGAGAAACCGAGGCCCAAGGGGATAGGCATGACTTGCCCAAGTTCATATAGCTAGTTAGTGGCAAAGCTGGAGAGACAGGTTTGGGTAACGACGAAGAGCTTGGCGCCTGTAGTGAGATTGCCCGATTGCCCGAGTTCTGCCATTGGATGGATCCCCTGGGACAAGCCACTTAACCTCATTGAGCTTCAGTTTCATTCAGTGAGAAATGGGAGTGATAATAGAACGTACCGCTTAGGCAGCTTTGGAAGATGAAATGAGCTAACACGTAAAGTACACAGTGCCTGGCATACAGTAAATTCTCTGTAATTATTAGTTGTTGTATCATTGTTCGAATTTTGATTTTCCTGTTTATTTTCTCTTCAGGCACCCTGCTCTTCAGGGAGGTCAGTTATTTGTAAGTAATTTTTAAGCACTGTAGTTACAGCACCTAATATTGTTCAGAATCAGGATGATGCTAGTTTCTTGAAGTTGGCTGTAAAATGTGGAAGTGAACCTAGAGAAAACAGTAGGACTCTCTCAGGATTACACAACATTGTGACAGAGTTGCAAATTGTGTTTTCTTGGGTTCGCCAAGTAGTTTTTTGAGCCCGGCTGATAACTAGCCTGAATAACAGCCATTACCTTGGGTTGGGGCAGAAAAATAAATTCATTTTAAATAGGTGAAACTCCTCCTGTGTGATCACACGCACATTTGCAAATTTGTATTATTTACAAAAGATGATCACTGACTTCCTTTTCTTTTTAATGTCACTCCTGTTACAAGAGTTTTGTCTTCCTTTGTTCTGTCTGGTTAAATCTGTTGTTTCCCTTTTGCTTCTCATTCAGTTATCAGTATCCCAACTGGTAATGGCAAAATCTTGGTCTTAGAACACCAAGAATTCTAGGCTAAGTGTGTGAGACTAGTAAGTATTATCTCTCACAAAAACTTGATTTTTGTTGTGCTATCATAGACATAATTCTGCTTTTCTGGAAAGTTCTGAACTTTTACATGTAACTGAATGGAGTGTGTACTTCATGTCCGGGACACAATTTTGTGTCTGAGATACCTACCTCAGGATAGAGCGGGCTACAAGTGTATGTGTGTAGTCTTTTTAATGGGGAAAGCAGTTTGGTTTTTAAATAAGTTTTATACCGTGTTTGAATAACTGGAAAAAATTTGTTTCTGTTCACAGGTTAGGAATATTAGGAATATTAATGATAACAGTAGTAGCTAATATTTTTGAATACTTAACTATTTCTGTTCTGATGCTCTTTGTGGTTTAACTCACACAACCTTATGAGGTGGTGCTGTTATTGGCATCAGCATGGGACAGTGGGGAATTGGACATAAAGAGGTCAAGTCACCTGCCTGAGGTCTCCTAGCAAGGAAATGGAGGAGCCAGGATTAGAACAGGCAACAGCTTGTGTTGTCTCAGAAACTATTGTCTTCTGTGGGAACTGGGCTTGTAGAGAATGAGTAACACATTCTTTTTCCTCAAAGAGTAACTATACACTTATTTTTGTTATTATTTCACGTCTCTCCTGCTACGCTATAAACTCCCTGAAAGCAGGGTCTCTTTGGCTCACCTCCGTTCTCCTCAGGTAAAGCACCATGACAGGCTTAGTTATAATTGGTTGAATGAATGACTGGTTCTGTCATAATAGAGGTTTTTCTAATGAATCACTTTTGTCCCCTCCCAGCCCTATGGCAAACCTGGAGCTTATTAAGATAAAAGTATTTGTTTTTTATTGATGCCTTTCCCCCTTTACCAAGTAACCTCTTGGTTTGACAAAATTAAGTCCTCTAAACACCATTCTAAAGCCCTTTCCCTTTTAACATTCACAACTTTTTGAGCTAAGAGGTATTTTTATCCCCCTTTGCAGAAGAGGAAACTAATTTAGGGATGGTCAGCCTCTTCCTGATGTCCTACCAGAAGAGGCAAAGCTGGCTGGTTTCTTAGGCCAGTGTATGAAAGTGGGGGTCTGGATTCCCTTATCCAAAGTGGCCAGCCACAACTTACCTTCCCTCCGGATATTGCGTTCATGCTTTTCCTTTTCTTGGTCCCTTTAAAAAAATCTCCAGTATTACAATTTGGATGCACCTGTTTCTCTCTGAAGCCCCCAGTTTCTCTCCTGATTAAAACTGAATGTCTTCATCTTGAAAGTCAGGAATGAGTTTTGGGAATACTGAGGGAGTGGCGGGGGGGTACGGTGCACTAGTATGGTTGGATACTTGAAAAAAAAGACAAGTGAGTTCTCTAGAAAAGAAAATTAGAATGCATATACACCTGTCATGACAGGGCAGTGACCAGAAATGTGTTGGTCCTAAGTGTAGGAACAGAGGAAATACGCAGTTTCTAAATTGGTTACCAGGATTTAAAATTGGGGGGATTTCACATTAGTACTGGGTTGCTGACCTTTGACATCCAGAGATTTGCCTGTAGTGGGTCTCCAGCCTCATGAGGCCACAATGGGCTGGAGCTGAATGGCAGCCACCATTAGCTAGGCTAGTGGATGTTCTTCATTTGTCTCCTCTCCCCATCTGCCCTATTGTGCTCCTCCATGTTTTCTGCCAGCCCCTGTAGGCACATGAAATTGTGTTTCCTGATTCTCAGGAAATGTTTTCTGGTTACAGTCTTGCTACATTTTAGATCAGCCTTAATCGTCTTCTTACCATCTTAGCCTTGTTGGGAGAGCTGGTAAAGGTTTTATCTGTCTGAAATAGATTGTATGACAGTTATAAACAAAGTTTAAGGTTCATGATGATACGTGATGAAAGAGAAAATAATTGTATTCCTGTGTTGGAAACAATTATAGCTTAACCTCAGTAAGTCTCTTGGGGGGGGAAGAGATACTTTTTTATTGTGTTTTCTTCTTTGCAGACTTCAGAACTACCTTTAAGGGGAAAAAAGACAATATAATGGTGAAGCAGGCTTCCTTGATGAGATTTCTCTTCATGATAGTGAAGTAATTTGGTATTTTCCAGGCTAGTCTAAGAACTCCCAGGGGAATCTGTCGAGAATTTAGATTCTCAGGTCCTCTTTGGAGTCGTAGGGTTGGAGGAGGGCTGGTAGATACTTATGTGACGGGTGCTCCCAGGGTTACTGTTGTCAGGCAGATTAGGACACCCTGACTTCCATGCTTGGGTTTGTTGCCCTTTTTTGTTTCAGCTTAACCGTAAGCCTTTTGTTTCTTCTGAGGGTGTCGGTAGGTTTCTGTCCTTCAAGTGGCTGAGGCGAACCCAGTGTATTGCTCTGGTCGTCAGTGCAGTTAGTCCTACCATTTGAGGATCAGTAGTTTTAGGTAATATTTTATTCTTGTTTCCCAGTAAATTAAAGGTCTATTTGTTTTTTTTTTTCTCCTGTTTTTCTCAAGATGTGTGTGTGTAGATATATGTGAAAGTAGACAGTCTCTTTTGGTTATAAAGGCAGCCTAAAGTTGAGGCAACAGAAGCCCTTCGAAGACCATGCAGCAAATTACAAGAACAGGGAACAAAATCCAAATCTTCTGTCCCAGAGTTGTATAATATCCAGTAAGCCTCACTGTCTGCTTCCCTGGTCCTCACCTCCAAGTTCTAAGTAAACACAATAAGCATCTTATCTGTAGCGCAGGCAGTCACTGCTCTTAAGTGAACAGTAGAATGATTTCCTAAGTACTGGACAGCCAGCCTCCAAGGACCACAGTGTTTGCAGGTGTCCCTACTTACCCGGTGTCCACCTTACCCGGTCCCTCTCAGAGGTGTCCTGATTCCTGACCTCTCCTCCTCCCCTGAACTTTCTTTTTTTTTTTTTTTTTTTTTTGTTGGTCATCAGTAGATGGGCAGGTGAGCATAATAGTTAAGAACTTGAACTTCGGAGCCAGATGGCCTGTGTTTAATGCCTGCCTCTGGCAGTTACTGGCTGTGTGACCTTGAGCTTCTTTTCCTTGTCTATAAAGTACAGGTATTAGGAGTACCTACCCCCTTGTGTGGTGTTAATGAGTTCACATATGGAGCGTACTTAGAATGGTGGCTGGCCCATGTCAGTTTTAATTTTTTTTATGAGCACTTATTCTGTCTGTCCTCTAAGCTTAAGGTGTTGATCATGGTGTATTCTCTGTTCACCTCTACAAATCTAATCTGTTAACAGTCCTGTCATGTGTATCTGTCTTCATTTCCATTCTTAACTGTTGTTGCCATTTGCCAACACCCACCTCCTTTCTTCTGATGTACTGCCCAGTCCATCATCCTGTTTTATTATTTGCACTTTATTTTTTATTTGCTTCTTGCTTTAATATTATCATTATCATTTTAAGTCATCTCTATATCCACTGTGGTGCTCGAACTCACAACTCTGAGAAGGGCAAAAGTCACAAGCTTCATGGACTGAGTCCGCCTGCTTCTGGCTTTAAAACCTCACCTCACATTTACCACAGGATGGAGTTCACAACCACCAAGCCTGGCATCCGATATCCTTAGTGTGACGTAGTCGGCCTCCTGTTCTTCTCATGCTTGCCAAACTGAACACCACCACCTCTCCTTCTTTGAATATGACTTGCTTATTTCTGCCTTTGCTTCATTTCTTTTCCCACCTTTACAAAATTCTCTTTATTCTGTAAATCTTGTGATCTTCCCCTCTTTTCAAGTGCCATATTACTTTCATATTGCCCAGTTTTTGTTCAGCTTTTCTTGAAATCCTCGTGTAGGGTAATATCTACTACTACTAACCAATAAAGCCCAGAGTTCAGTGGATTAATATTATAAAGTTTGTTCTCAGTCCTGTCACGGTTGAGTGTGAATGTCCTTCCATGAAGAAATTCGGGGAGATTGTCTCCTTCCATCCTGTGACTCTTGTCACATTCCCTAAGGGTTTCTCTACTGATAGGAAGGTAAAGTGAGAGCAAAAAAGGAATACTTCTTAACCTCCTGGGTTCTGTAGTGCCACCATCACTTAAATTCACAGTCCTTTGGTGAGCTCCAGTTGCATGGGCCACCTGGATATGAAAGGAGTTGGCTTTCACCAAAAGCTGTGACCGTAAGGTCATGGCTTCTATTGAGGCCTTAGCTGTTCCCTTGCCAATGAGATGGTAAGCTTCTCTAGGTAGGCAGGAACTCCCATATTTCTGTATAAAACCCAGGCTGGTCCTTGTATAGAGGGGGTTTTGTTAAACACTGTAGTGAGCTAGTTATTGAAGGACTACCTGAAGTAGGTTATGGTGTGAAGTACTTTGGGTTGGTTGTGAGGAAGACCTCATTTGAATCCTGCTGCCACAGATTATGAACTGGGTGATAACTTAAGGAAGTTATTTATCCTGTGCTCTTCAGGTGGAGATAGAACAGCATCTCCCTCGTGAGGCTGTCGTGAAGCTGTAATGAAGGAAGGTATAACACCTGGCATGTTGTAAACCCTCCGGAAATGGTGGTTATTAATATACATATCAAGCTTCTTTGCTGATAATCACTAAGAAATGTTAAATTAATTGTCATTTAGTGCCCTGTGATAGAGGTGGATTAGAAGTAGCCACAGGCATCCTGTGACAGATGAGGGTTTGAGACCCATGTTAAAGTCCAGAACTTCCTAACTAGTGTGTGACTTGGGCAAGTCATAACTTTTGGGTTTTGATTGTCTTCCTTCCATTTTTACCTGTTGGATGATGAATTATAGAGTTAAGTCTTGTGCCGTTGTTATGATTTGTTGAAATATCAAGGAAATAACTCCTTTGTAAAGCTGAAATTATCGAGATGTTTTTGGTATTTAATACTATTGATGTTAAATATTGCATTGAAAAATACTGCAATCACAGATGATCCTCCTAACCCCCATGAGAATACATTTGAGAAAAATACAGAAACTGAGTCGAAAACATTTTCAGAGTAAGATTTTGTTTGTCTTATAGGCATTTTGTTCCCAACATCACCTTTGGGCACCCTGTGGTAGAAAGCCTCCGAAAGCAGCTAGGCCAGGATCCTTTCTTTGGTAAGTGGGTGTTGTGCTGTTGGAAGCCGGATGTGTTGCTCGAGTAAAAGAAAAGGAGACGGTTTATTTCTCAGCTTCCAATCTCATCTTGAACCCTTTCGCCTGCTCTCTGTGCCAAGGCTCCATTGTTTGCTTGTAATAAGCCAGACTCTTTCTTGCTTCAGGGCCTTGGCAGTTTTCGCTGATCTCTCTGCTTGGAGCACTGTTGACTTGGCCAGCTCTGCCTTATCTTTTGGCCCTGAATTATTGGCATTTCCTCAGAGAGGCCTTTCTGAGCACCCCATCCTAAATTAACCTTTGTCCAGTTACCTTAACACCTTCTGAATTTTCTTTCTAGAACTTCCTTCAGTCAGATTACTTTTATCTAACTGTAAACTCCTTTAGAGCAGGAATTTAATCCACTTCGTTTACTATGGTTTTCCTAAAGGTAATTGTAGACCAAAAATTGGAGTTTAGTGTAATTGTTACATTCGAATCTAGAAGTGAAACCAATTATTTCATTCAAATTGGGGTTTCTGCAAGTGGGGCCAGCGTATGCTCCACTGTGGTGTTGTAGGATAAGGTGAGTTAAAACTTTGAAGAAGACCCAGTAACCTGGAAGTTATTTCTCATGAACATGGATTTAGTCCTCACGTTGATATTGCTCTTTTAAACAAAGTTAGCCGTGGCTTAAACTTAGATTTTTTTTTTTTTTTTTGGTAGATTATGGACCAATTTTATGAAGGATTCTTGCTGCGCAGCCCTATATGGTCGTCACTAGCCACGTGTGGCTATTTAAATTTAAGTTACTTCAGATTAAAAGAAATGAAAGATGAAGCTTCTCGGTGTTATTAACCATATCGCAGGCTCTAGATAGCCACGTGAGTCTGGTGACTGCTGCATTGTACGGTGCCATTTGTGGAACATGGCCATCGTTGTAGAAGTATCTCTCGGGCAGAGCCTTATAGTATCCATGGACTTTACACGAAAGAAAATGTACCTTATCAGTTTATGTAGCAGAAGGGAAACTGTATTCAATTAGCACATTCACCATTTTGAAATTTTCAGATAATGGAATATAATCCTCTGATGACCTAAACTTTTTTATTACATTTTAAAAAATGAATTTACCAAGAAAAATTTGTCTTTAGGAATATCAGAGGTGAATACAATAAGTAACCTTGTTTGTGCCCTCTGTGCCATGGCTGCAGAGTCCTGTGCATCTGGCTTTGTATGGATTTAAACGAATTCTTTTTTCCCTTTTCTCTTTTATTTGGACTCCTGGCATCACTTCTCATTGCTGTCTGTGTCTTCTGTGTTTGTGCCTGTCTTACCAACCCTATTGACATGACCACACACAGTCTGCTTTTTCTTTCTGCTTTTAGTTTATTTGCCAATAAACTTGCTCATCAGTCTGTCTAGAAGTGGGTCTGCAGTAAAGATGAATGGATTCCAAATGCTTTAATGTTTGGGTTTTGTGACCTTTGTTTCTTATATCAAGAAGTGTGTTTTTGTTTCTTGGATCTTGGTCCTTGTTGGGTAACTGATTCATGTGTCTATTCTAAGAAATAATTCACAAGTTGCTAAAGTTCTGAACTGTTCAATCTCAGTATTGAGTAGAAATAACCATGAAGCAATCAAGTGATTGGGAAAATCTGTTGGTTTTGTGTTTTTATTTTTGTTTTTATTTTTGTTTTGCGGTTATCTAAATCCGTGGTCTTCAGGTATGGTCTGAGCACCCACAGGAATCCCTTGCAGATGGAACAGGAGGTGAACACTGTTCTCATAAGATAGGGTTATTTGCCATTTTTTGTACAGATAGTACAAAAGCGGTGGTGAGTTTGCGTGGCCCGAATCAGGGCAATGGTATTGAACTATCCAAGGATTTTCTGTGTTACTCTTCGTCAGCCTTCATAGTAAATATCCTTGTTCATAGTAAATATCATAGTAATATCCTTGATATTTCATGGTAAATATCCTTGAAGAATCATACAGATTATTAACTACAGGAAATCTTGATACTTAGGTGAGTTTCTTTTACTACTCTGTGTGGCAGAATGGGAAGTACATATGAAGCCTTTCTCCTGCGTACGGGGTGATGATGGTTTTCTCGAGGAAAACCACTTGCACCACACGGAGTTGTGAACTGACTGGCTGCCTTTCTCACCAGCACTATTTTCACTTGAATGAACAGCCGGCAGATGAAGTGTGCTTATCAGACTCGGGTATCTTACTGCCATTTTCTTTGAAATAAACTGAGTTAGCCTGTCACTTCAAGGGAGATACCTCATTTCTGTTTCCACTGATAAAGTTAGAGCTTGCAAGTGAAAATTGGAATTTTGAAAAAACTTGTGTCTGCCTCTGTGAGGTCATTAGCTTTCCGCTATTTACAGCTGTTCTGATAAAATCTGTAGTGATATTAACAAGTGTGATTTTCTGATAGAACATAATGAAATGTGTCACTCTTTGGAAGATCTGTGTCAGTCAGTGAACTGGTACTTAAAAGATCCATTCACAGTGTATTAGGATAGGCCCGCGGCTTTCAGTGTAACAAAGTGCACACCGTTCCCTGGGAGAGTTTACAGATGCCACATTGCAGCTAACCCTTTATAAAAGTCCTACTTGTCAAGTTTTGGGGTAGAAATAGAAGAAAATCTGCACTAGTCTGAAAAGGCTATTAATGTGCCCCTCCCTTTTCCTTGTACTTTTTCCCCTTTTCTTCACATAAAATGACATAATGCAACCAACTGAATGCAGAGCAGATGTGAGAATCGAGAGGTCTTCTGTCAGACCAGACGGTAGGAACTTAACAAAAGTGTAAAATAACGTCACTCTTATATTAACGTGATAGATTTATTATTGCTTATTATTTTTAAGTGAATTAATAAGTAGACACTTAAAAATTTCTGAGTTTGAATTTTTTTTTTAAAGATTTTATTTATTTATTTACAGACAGAGATCACAAGTAGGCAGAGAGGCAGGCAGAGGGAGAGAGAGGGGAAGCAGGCTCCCCACTGAGCAGAGAGCCCGATGCGGGGCTCGATCCCAGGACCCTGAGATCATGACCTGAGCCGAAGGCAGAGGCTTTAACCCACTGAGCCACCCAGGCGCCCCGTGTTTGAATTTCTAATACATTTTAAATATTTATAAATATAGTCCACATCAGCAGCACTTCAGGAATCGTCAGTAATTCTTGACGGAAGACTGATGACGGAATGTTTGAGAACTGCTGACCTCAGTACATTAACTATAGGCAGTTCCACTGACCCATGGCTCTCTGAACACTGGAGATTGTCTAGTGAGGGCTGCCCATGGGGCCTGCGTACTGGAGAGTGAACAACATAGCAGTCCAGTAACTTAAGAAATGAGTCAACTAGATATTTTAAAGCAGATTGATTTTTTTTTCTTGGTGTTTATTGTTTAGAACACAAAGAAATAAACACCAAATAGAGTCTGTCTTTTAAAAACAATGTTTTACCTATTAATCCAGGTTTTATTTTTGTTACTTTTGTTAGTTTGGAAATATAAACTTTAACCTTGGCTTCATTTGTCAAGCAGTATTCTTTTTTTCCTGATAGTTTTCAAAGCCTTGTTGCGTTTTATGGTCTCAGTCGAGTTCTAGAATACTAGAAATTTTTTTTTTTCACTATAGCTCAGCTGTATCAAGTATGCTTCCTCTGGCAAAAAACAGTCTCGCAACTCTTCTTAGCACATCCATCTGGCACAGGGATATTTACTGTTTTCTTCCTGACAGCATCATTTCTCGATTCAGCCTCTTTTAAGCCACCTTCTTCTCGTTAATTGCTCGTGTGTTTTAAGTCAGGATCCTACAGAAGGCCACCCTGTTTCCCCTAGCCTGTCTCTGTGACTTGAGCTCTCCAGTTGGGATGCGGTCAGACCTGCAGTTTCCTGCCACACTCTCCTGGCTCCTGCCCCCTCACTGGCCGCCATGGTAGCCCACGGCTACTCCGGCTGGCCGGCCGGAGCTGCAGAGCCGGAAGCCTGCCGCTCTCACCAGCCTCAGTGGCTGCTGTCGTCCTTGCTTCCCTGGGTGACTGCCGTGGCCTCCTCCGTGAGATCTTGTCATTTCGCTCAAGATCCCACCTGTCCCCCTGTCTCACTCAGAGTAAAGCCCAGTGGCTTCAGAGCTCTGTCCTGGGTCTACTCACCCTGTGCCCCTTTGATCTTACCTGTTCTCCCCTCCCTGCCGCAGGCCTCCCCCCGCCCCCGCAGCCGGCCACACTGGCTGTATTAACTACCATCCCAGTGTGTACTGTGTTTACTTCTTTTCTTTATGGTGTGTCTCCCCTACTAAGAATGTAATCCCCATGTCAGCAGAGGCTTCTGTCCATCTGTTTTTTGCGCTGTCCCTGGGGCCTCGAGTAGTTAATGGTGCAGTAAGTGCTCCATTAAGATATTGGTAGAATCACTTAATTTAGCTGTCTTATTTTATAGATGAGGAACTAAGTCTACGTAGATAATAGGACTTTTTAAAAGTTTTCTTAGAGTGGCATTTCCTGGACCTAGGTTTCCTGAGTTCTAGTTCCTGTCATATACAGCACCATATGCTTTGGGTGGAAAAATGTGGGGTTTTTTTTTGTGAGTTTAACCAAAGCCCTATCTAGCTATACAGAAGGGTAATTATTTAAGAATTACTTTAATGCCAAATAGTTCATTATCCAAAGCGGCAAAAACGGTGGGCTGGCTTCAGTTATCTGAGCCAGGTATTTTCCTTTCAGTAATATTTAGGAGTTGTGTCTTTCCTTTCTAGACATGCACATGATGGTGTCCAGGCCGGAACAGTGGGTCAAGCCAATGGCCGTGGCGGGAGCCAATCAATACACCTTTCATCTTGAGGCTACTGAGAACCCAGGGGCGTTGATTAAAGACATTCGGGAGAATGGGATGAAGGTGAGAGGTCAGCAGTGAGAGTAACGTTCTCTACTATTCGCTGTCAGTGTGGAAGTTTGGGTGGAAGACAGAAGTGATCGGTGGACGAGACCGGACTGCGGCCGCTGTTCTTCAGCTGAGAAACCAGCGTTTAAGTATAACTTGTTTGGGAGACAGGATTTCTAGATTCCACTCATGTTTCCTGAAAATGACTGCCTGTTAGAAACATTTACATTGGGGTAGCCTTGTTGACTTTAAGAAAGTACTTATAATCTGAATAATTTATGCATTCCATGTCTGTGTCTGTTCTATTCTCTAAGAATAGATATTTCTACTGGGTCTGATGTACCACAGTTATAAAATATGTAAATAATTGCTAATGTGATGTAGCAAATTTGTCTCTGTTATAGGTTGGCCTTGCCATCAAACCGGGAACCACAGTTGAGTATTTGGCACCATGGGCTAATCAGATAGATATGGCCTTGGTTATGACAGTGGAACCTGGGTTTGGAGGGCAGAAATTCATGGAAGATATGATGCCAAAGGTAAAAAACTATTTCATTTGGGGGTGAGGCTTTTATTGTTTGTGCTCATTCAGTAAGTGTACATTGAACCACTTGTGTGTTTTAGACCTGTCTCGCTCTGAAGGTGATGCGGGAGGGAGGCCTACAGATCACTGTAATATGGTGTGACAGATGCCATAAAAGATGGAGGTTTGGAAATGAGGAAAAAAATTTAACATCTTAATCTTGAAATTTTCTTCCAAAGCTATTATCTCTGTAGCCTTCAGACCTCTTGGGAGATCTCCTTTCATTGAGCATTGAGGGTTTTATGTTTGTCTTATTGGCATGAGGTATATTCTCTGCAAAGGCATGACAAATTGAATGCTGTTTCCCGAATAGAACAAGCCTTGCTTTTATGAAACTGAATTTGTTTCAGTATATGAAAAAGGAAAGTATCCCCAGTTGTCATTGGTATTCATAAAAAGTTATCTGTGTGATGGGGTGCCTGGCTAAGCATGCAGCTCTTAATCTCTGGGTTCTGAGTTCGAGCCCCACATTGGGTATAGAGATCACTTAAGTAAGTAAACAAATAAATAAATATTGTGTGAGATATTTGGAGTTGTGTCGTAGCGGCTGATGATGGCTCTTTGATTTTTTGCTTATTTGGTTTTGTTTATTTCCCCCCATGTATCCACCATAGGAGTCACTTATTTTTTCATGTATATCTAGGTTCATTGGTTGAGGACCCAATTCCCATCCTTGGACATAGAAGTCGATGGTGGAGTAGGCCCTGACACTATCCATAAATGTGCAGAGGTGAGACCGCTCCTCAGCTGTGACCCAGACCCGTTTCCTTTCAAATGTGTCTAGTAGGATGTTGTCTTGTGCGCCAAAGAGATTTCCCCTTCATTTCCTAATTGCCTTTCTTTCTGGGAAGAGCACTTTTCTTATTCAAATGTAAAACTATGAAAATGAAGAGCAGTAAGTGATATATTCTCAATTATACGTTCATTAAAAAGTAAGTCCCAGCTATCTGAGTAATGCTGAAGGAAGTTTTTTGGTTTTTGTTTCTGGGTTTTGTTTTTGTTGTTGTTGTTTTTGTTGTTGTTGTTTTTTTAAAGAATATGCTTAATGCCAGCCTTTCTGAAATTATTAAGTTCTAGGACTTGGAGTAAGACATTTTTCCAAAACATGGAAAGAAAACATACCTGCTTATAAGGTGAAAAGATGGTTATTTTGTGTAACTGAGGTGTATTAGTTACTAGTTTGTCCCTTGCAAGAACTGACTAGAGCTGTTTCTGATGGAAATCTAGGTCTGATTTCTGGATGCCTGGGGTCCTCTATGTAGAGGTGGGATGAGTTTTCCCAAGTAACTAGCGGAGCCGAGTTAGGCCCTGAGTTTCATAAGAGGGTGCCGGCCAAATGATCTCAGGGTTGTGAGGTCAAGCCCCATGTTGGGCTCCACGCTCAGTGTGAGTCTTCTTGAGATTCTCTCTCTCCTTCTGCCCCTCCTGCTCGTGCTCTCTCTTTAAAAAAAAAATCCTTAAAAAAACCAGAGGGGTGGTGGCTGCCAGCTCCTTCGGTAATACTGCAGGCCATTAAAGTTTATATGGCCCATTTTTGTTAAGTGACATGCTCTAATCTGCACTTTCAGTGTTTTGTATAAATGCCATACTTTTCTGCCTGGTACTTCTCAAAAGTTTGGTTGTGAGATATTTACGAAAGAGGAGTGGACCAAACAATTAGTGAGCATATATCCTTTGGCCACTTCTTACTGAACTGTGTTTTTGCTGCTGGGCTTTTCCTGCTTACATGTCAAGCTGTAACCCTATAAAACCAATGTTTGTTTTCATTTTTATGAGAATTGTCATTGGAGATGCAGTGTGCTGTATCACAGAATGACAGGGTCTCCTGGGAGGAATTTTCCTCCCTTCCAGGGCCTCTAGCTTCCTGGTACTTTGTTCTGGTAGCAGATCACAGGACAGATTGGGTTTCCCTCCTCGAGTCAAATCCGGGGAGCTCAGAACTAAATTTGGACTTACCTTATATGCTTTTCTCTGTGATTTCTTGGCTTCCACATTAAGAAGTATCTCAAAAAACTTTCTTAAACCCTTCAAAGCCTTTGTGGGATGCAGTGAAGCATGCATTAAAACGTGTTTCATTCTTTCTGACATCAAAATGAGAAAATTTAATGTTGCCATATTTTATAGTTTCACATTTTAGCAGTAATTGTCTACCAGTTCATACACTGTTGACTCTTGAAGAACATGGGTCTGAACTGCATGGGTCCTTTTTTACAGTATTGTATTTTCCTTATTAATTTTTAACAATTTTTCTTTTCTTTAGCTTACTTTATTATAAGAATATAGTACATGATACATGTAACTTACAGAGTATTTATGAATCAGCTGTTTATGTTATTGGTAAGGCTTCCAGTTAATAGGAGGCGATTAGTAGTTCGATTTGGGGCAGTCAAAAGTTACACGTGGATTTCTGACTGCATGGCGGGTCAGTACCCCTGACCCCTGCATTGCTCGAGGATCAACTACGTAAAGATTAAAAGATACTTTGTTTTTTTAGTAGCTAGGTCAGCATTGGCATATTTTGGAGAAACCCTAATAGAATTGAGGATTAAAGGGTTTTACAGCTTTTTCTAAATATTAGCAAAGATGCAACAATGTTGCTTATTTTAAAGGTGGTCACAAACAAATCTGTGATTTCATAAACCCATTTAAAAATAACTTGGTATCTTCACTTGGTAAGTATTTCAACTTTATCTTCATTGAACTAGATTGCTTAAGTCTGTCATCTCAAGGTAGCTTTCGTATGTTCAAGCGCTGACAGTGCAAGGATAGAAACTGTAGTCCAGAAATTCTGTTTTAAGCCCCTGTGCCTCTTCCTTTGAACTATAACCTGAATGTTTACTTCTTCCAGGCAGGAGCTAACATGATTGTGTCTGGCAGTGCCATTATGAGGAGCGATGACCCCAGATCTGTGATCAACCTGTTAAGAAATGTTTGCTCAGAAGCTGCTCAGAAACGTTCTCTTGATCGATGAAACCACAAGGAGTCCAGTGTTTATGCTCATGAATTCTTTTTACTGGAAGACAAGAATATTGACTATCAAATCCTATCACAGTTGAAGCAGTGCTGTTTTTCTGAGCAGCTATTCATTCCAGTGACTAAAATCTATTCTGCAGAACGTTCCAAGAGGTTAGAAATTGGTGTGTATAACTACCTTTTTAGTGATGGAATTTAGAGATTAGTGTGGTAAAATACCATTTTTACTGGGAGACTTGATTTTTATAAAGTAAAAATATGGCTGTATTAAGGTTATGAATGGAAGTGTGTCTTAAAGCCTAATGAAGGTAGAGTAGCTACTATGAAAAAAATGGTTTTTTCTGCATTTTAAATCTTCTCATTTCTTGGTTTTCCAAAGCAAAGGAAGTCCTTATTCCTGTTTCGTGTTATTTTGATTTGTCTCTGCGCATGACAACATGAGTAGAATGGAACTTGTGAAAAATCTAAGTTTGAATCTGGTTAGGATGGTACACTGTATTCTTGCTTCTTTAACATCTTTTACTTTGCGCCTTATATTTGATACATAAAAACTGTAAAAACAGTGTATGAAGCCCAGGGATTTCAGGTGGATTGTTCTAAAATTACAAATACAGATTTTATCAAGTTGTTTTCTTTGTCAGCTCTGCTGGAGGGGCAAGTTATACAGTGATCCCACCCGTTCCTTTTCTTAACAATAATCTTGTGCTAGCTTTGAGCAGAAAGGAAAGGAAAGCTTCTATTTGGAAGTACTATTGAGTTGAATCTGGACTCTTCTCCTAACTATTTGACTTATTTGACGTTAGCAAATCAAATCAGCCAGTCTCTTTGAGTATCTGTTAACTGATTTATACATTGAATATAATTATAATAACCATGTAAGGTTATATTGAGCATTAAAAGAGATCATATGCTATCTGTAAAGCTCCTGCTACCATTCCCAGAATTATAGTAGAATTGATGCTCAATACAAAGTAGTTGTCATTTATATTTTGTAGCCTATAAAGTCCTTCAATATAAGCTCATTAAATGCATAAATCAGTCTTAAGAGTAGAACAGGTACTTTTGTCCCCATTTAAAAAATGAAGATACTAGAGCTCAGCAACAGGTTGGTCCTACTGAAAGAACCCGGTGAGGCACAGGAGTTCTGGGTTTGTACTTTTTTTTTTTTTTTTTTTAACAGATGGAGCCCTTGGGATGTAGATAGGCAACATTGTAACATTGTCTTATTTGCAGTCTAATTTTACGCTAAAGCAGAACCAGATGGCTGAGGATATTCTGGATACTATGGATTTGACCCCAAGGATATATATTGTATTAATCCAGCAAAGACGAGGTAGGCCAAAAGATGACAAGATACAGAGTTAATCCGTACACTAAATACTTAAAACTGTGTCCCAGGTTATACTTTGACCACAAATATGTTATCTGTTACTTCATTCTTGCCAACACTCTTGCTATATAATACATATGGCAGGAAATAAACAGGTGACTAGTGTCATTAAACTTCTTTAGGCTACTATGAGTTTTACGAAATAAGGCAAAATGAGAACATTAACACTTCCACATGAGAGCTTCCTTGGTTTTTTCTATCCTACAAGGTAAAAATTTGTCCTTTTATTTTGACTTAGGAAAGGTTTGTGCCGTGAATAGGTGGCATTTAATCAAATCAGACCACACAAGGCATATAGAAATAACTTTAATTAAAAAACTTACATAGAAGATTATAATGTCAGACATGACAAAGATTTGAGCTTATTTGCCTAGACAACTTCGGTTTGTCTGGCTTTTGTTTCCTTTTTTAAAAATAAATGTACAGTAAAACTACAGCAAAAATTTGTCAGTATTGAATTTGCATTTTTTTTCTTCCTTAAAGGGACTAGTATAATTTCCAATCCCTAACAAAAAACTTCATGTCAAATCCCCCCCGACTAGGCCAGATGGCCAGGATTGTCAGTTCTATGGGTATTATAACTTGAATAACCTTTTTCTTTAATATGAGAAACTGCCTCAGCTTTTACATAGAGAAAGTTATGTGATAGCTTCAAAAGGAACTTTCCTTAACGTACACTCCTGTATTCAGTATTGAAGCGTTATCCTTTGAAAAATTTTCTCACTCTAGGATACAAGAATAGATGCTTATTTGAATTGAGTGAGCTAGAGTAAGGAATAACCAAATTAACTAGAAATACAACAGTTTTTTTATACTGTTATATACTGATAGGACTTTACTGTTGCTTATTTTAAGTTGGTGTCTTCTCTCCATGAGATACATAAAATAGATAAAATTCAGGTTTTAAAAGAGACCAATATTTAACTGTACTTTGCTTGTCTTAATCTGTTAGGAGCGAATGGAAAGTAACCCTTAGTCTAACAGGTAACAGTGATTTTAGATAAAGGTATATTGTGTTATCTTGTATAGAAATTTCCATAAATAACTTCTGTTGGTTAAACGTGTTTTTTAAAAAATTATCTCCCCATAACCAAGACTTAGATATCCATTATCACTGGAACCTGTGCTTTGTTTAGAGTACAACTTACATTTCATGGGGTAGTTCATACATGCATTTTCAAGTGGAGTGGTCACTGCCAGTGTTTTTAAAAATGATGTGTGTGTATATGGGTATGTACACTATATACACACATATGTGTATAATATATTTCTGAGGTAATTTTAATGAATCACCCTAGAAATTACATAGAAATGTACAGGAAAAAGAGTTGTAATTTGATGCACAGGTGTATATGTATGTGCGTGTGTACACACACACACACACACACACACACAAAGTCTTTGAAAAGTCATTTACCCAGTAATGTGATTTAACAACAGATTGCAGCAGTTAATTTTTTGGTGCTTGTGATTTGCATCATAAACACAAAAGACTAGCACTTGTCTTGTAGGTGAAAAGCTAGTTATTCCTGTGGTTCAAGAAGGAAAAAGACCTACCTTGCCTGTTTTATAACAGCATAAAAGATTAATACATGCAGTACATGCTCTTACTCTGGAATTGTGACTGAAGGGGTGGGGGATGGAAAGCAGGGCTTTTTTTTTTCCCCCCCGTTTTCCATTCACATACTTTTTTAAACCTGTTCCCTGTCACCTATTTTTTTTAATATGAGTAAGTCCTAGACCAAAAGGTTTATACTCCTCCATTTCGTCTGCCTGCCTTTTTGGATGGTGACTGTTCTCTGGTGCACTGGGACAGACTTCACCACGGGAGGCTGGGCTCAAACTTTCACTGTGATCCTTCTTTTCATCCTGGCATAGTAAAGTTTCTGTGTCTTCGTCCTTCAGCGGAAAAGTCCGTCGTTCCCACCACAAAGACTGAAAGAGAGAACATTTTCAGTTAAGTTTCAACTGATTTGTTTAAATTCACATATCAAATAATCCTTAAATGTCAATTTTGTAATTCCTGTTTTGTTCTTTAGTGCATAAATGCAAACTTTCATTTCGACCTGAATATCTAGCAACTCAAATGGGTCGTTACTGGGAATTGCCTAGAGACCTTAGGGAATTAGGTTTTCACTGTGCCCTTCCACGAAGAGGAGACCCTGCTGGAGAGCATCAGTTTTCATTTTCAGCATTGGAGTGCGCTCAGAAAGCCCCTTGCAGTGTGTGTGTATCTCCTACTTTCATGTCTTCATTTCTGGCCCATAATTACAGACACCTATTGACTCTTCCTTCCCCAAACTTCCTCCGCCTTGCCGATTAATTTCTATAGTTGGTGATCTCCGTTCTAGATCTTGTTCTTCTTTTCCAGTACCTCCTTATGAAGAACGGTGCAAAAACGTATAGATGCTGTGTTAGAAAAACACTCCCTGTGAGGTAAGAACTGGATCTATGGGGAGACAGGTAAAAATCTCTTAGAAAAAGAAGAGAAATAGCAGCTAGCATTTACTGTGTCACAGCCAAGGTGCTGTTCTAATAGGTTGGTTTTGTAGTGAAACTTGGATAGAATTCTCGCTTCAGAGAAGTGAGTATGTGAAACTAGATACTGACACTATAAAGAAAAGATGAAGTATGTATTAGTGACAGAACTAGAACACTTGAATACATATCCTCTGATTTGTCACATAATATTTTGCAACAAGCACTTTCTACACACACAGCCTTTTAAAAAGTTAAAAAGGCATTTAAAAGGAGGTTTAACTAGTTGTATATATTCCACTTACCTTGATTTCTTGACTTTCATTTAATGAAGGTGAGCCCTGTGCACCAAGATCCTGGCTCTCTGAAGAGAGCTCAGCAGGACTTCCAGCAGCACAGTGCTGGCCACCACTGAAGTCACTAGGGTACTCTTTCAAAAGCAAGTCCTGTCCTTCCACATTTTTACTGTAGGCTCTAGCAAGAAAATCAAGAAAACATTTGTTACTTCTTCAGGTCTTAACATTTTATGAACAACCCCAAGGTGTCACTAAATCAATTGAATTTCGTAGCTTTTCTTTAAACAGTCCTGTTCAGAAGATTTTTAAAAATTCATCTGATCTTCCTGATGTTACCTCAAAGACTTAAACAGTATCTTAGAAATAATACTTTATGAATTTGCCAAATTGTAGTAGTGGGTTTGAGTTTGGGGCTTGTTGTTATTATTTTGTTTTTAAATGAGAAAGGACAGTTACTTGACTTCTACAATCTTGCTGAGTTCCCAGAGTATTCTCTGTTACAATGTCATCCATGTAGGACTTGATTCACATTTTCCTCTTTACTTCCAGAAAGTTGTATCTCTGGAATGTGGAGAAAGATGAGAACTGAGTTGTGTGTGTGTGTGTGTGTGTGTGTTAAGACAGCTCTTGGAATAAGGATCTACAACAAATCTGGTATTTTGAGACCTAAACAGAGAAATGTGTTTTAAAAACACAGCTGAGGGGTGCCTGGCTCAATCGGTATAGCTTGTGACTCTTGATCTCCGGGTTGTGAGTTCTAGCCCCGAGTTGGGTGTGGGGAGATTACTTAAAAATAAAATCTTTAAAAAAAAAAAAAGGCAAAGAAAAATACAGCCGACCCTTGAATAACACAGGGGTTAGCACCAAACCTGCTATGCAGTCAAAAATTGCATGTAACTTTTGATTCTCCCGAAACGTAACTACTAATAGCCTACTACTGTTCTCCAGGAAGCCTTACCGGTAATGTAAACAATCGATTCACACATTTTGTATGTTATATTTATTATATACTATATTCTTACAATAAAGTAAGCTAGAAAAAAGGAAATGTTACACATTTATAGGACTGTACTATGAAAAGTCCGTGTATAAGTGGACCCATATAGTTCATATAGTTCAAACCTGTGTTCAGGGGTCACCTGTACTAAGTAAATGAGTCCCACACCAAATTTAGTGGACTACCAGACTTGACCATGATCTTGCTCTGTGAGTTTTGGCTATATTAAAACACTATCAAATGTAAATATAAAATACCATGGACTTTCTCAAATACATAATTACTAATTATGTTTTTAGGATTTCCTTTCCCCCAAAGTCGTATTTTCAAAGTATTTTAGATCATCTGCTTTTTAGACTAGATAGGTTTCTTGAGAAAATTTTTTTAAGAACGTGTTTTTTAAGAGGTTACGTGAAAATAGATCACCCAGATTCTAATCCCTAGTGTTAGGTCTGCTGTTAAGAGTGTACTGAAATGACCTACTTTATCTAGGGAGAATTTTCACATTATTTGCGGAGTTAAATCTATTCCTCAGGCAAAATAAGCATGAGGAAACAGTGGAGGAAAATACAGAAATGCATTTCATCACTATAATTAGACAAATATATTCTGAATGTACTCAGTAAATGCCGTGTTTTGCTTCTAGTAGAAAAATAACGGATGTTATTTTTCATTTTTAGTGGTCTCTCTCATTAGTCATGCAGAATTTTTGTTGATTCTACATGGATTTCATGGTTTGGGGTTATAAATTGATAACACCTGCCTGCTGTTTCTTCTGTGCCACTTGCTTTGTTCCCATAGTGACCATCTGGCTTGCTCTCTCTCTTCATATTTTTTGTGTCTTAGGGAGAAGACTTCATCAGAAAGATCTTCTACCTGGAATTAGAAATAAAGGTTTTCTTTTATCAGAAACATTTTGAAATATGAGAACAGGTGTCAATTCCTCATCAAGAGAACAAAATAGGAAGAAAATTATAAAGTAAATCTAAATTCAGAGAACAACTGTTATGAGATGAGCTTCCAATTCCAAAATTAAAGGGAGTTAACGTTTTGTTTTTTCTTTTAGAACTTTTTCCCTAATCTGTTAATGTTTGTAGACTTATCTAGATTACAGATAGTTTCACAGTGCTTTGCATTAAAAAATTCTTAATGCTTAATTCATTCAAAGGTTTATATTGATTGCTCTTTATGGAATATACTGTTCTAGGAATGTTAATATCAAAGAAAAGTAAAACTGAGGAAAGAAAATTCATTTAACTAAAGACTTATCTGGAATTCTAAGACTTTGGTGGTAGTAGTTTAAGAATCTGGGTTTCGTGGCTAGGCTCATTCTAAACTAGGGAAGAGCACGTTAAAGGAGGGGGGGCATTACAAAGTTATTATTGGAGGTTGAAAAACACAGTGGGCCTAGAAAGATTATGACAGAAAATGCCTTATATTATACTGCTACTGCAGAATATCACCTTCAAATTAGTCTGGTTATTTGGTATTTTTCCATGAAATTGTTCTTGTCTTAATGTAAGTTTTACCCATACAGGCTCTCCGTCCCTTTCCTGCAGTTCTTGAACTCTGAAACAGTAAGTGTTCCTAATTCATTCAGTGGCATAGCCTGATCTGGCCAAATTCTAGAACTATTTTCTGAGAAACAATCTATTCTAGACTCCCTCTATGTCTTATGTGATATATCTATCACGTTCACATTACTTTCTCAAGTCCAGAGGTTTCCAAAATCAAAAGCCGTTTGCTCCCAATGTTCTGAATGTGGTATTGTAGACTTAAATATTAAGACTAAATCTGTTCATGCAGGAAAATATGACTAATACTGGGAATGAATATAGATATTTATGTAAATTCAGTATTTCACCAATTTATGTAAGCAAATGATTTGTGTTTTTACTACATTTCTTCATAAATTGTCTTTGCAAATTTGCACAAAAATGTTTTCCTTATGAAACTAATATCCTTAATGAAGAATTTTGTTTTCATAAGTGAAAAAATATCAGTATATGTTAAAATCAGTATATGTTAAGGAGCTTATATATTTCACTTTAGTTCCTCAAATACCAAATTTAAGCAGGCTTCATAATATATAAAGTGCAATTATCCATAAGTGAAAGGCAGCTTACCTCTTCACCTACATGGTATTCATCCAAAGGCTGAAGAACAGCCATCCTCCAGCTGTTGAAGATACAAACCAATTTCAGCTTTTGTTAGCTAAGTGTAGCAATTATATTCTCTAAGCACAGCCAATGCAGTAATGTTTTCTTTTCTCGGGGCTTCCATTAATTCAAATGGTTGTATTTTCATACTTTTTCTTTTTAAAGAGAACAATTTGTGTTATGAAAAAAAAGATGAGAAGGTGAGACTTTTGGCCTTAGAGTAAACGGTCTCTTCTGCATAGCTGCATTCTATACCTAAGAATGTACCAATTTTGAATTAAGTCAGTAGATGGTGATACAATGGCTTGGCAGGGAGGCAGGAGGATAGTTGGGGGGTTTGGAGTATGGGTGTGGGAGGATGGGGAGAAAAGAGCTCTGAATTGAGCCTTTGCCAATTTGTGTGAAGACACCCATCATGGTCTCTCAGGTTGAACTACTGAACCACAGAATTCCTTTGTATTTAACCAACCAACCCAACCAGCCAGCTCCAGCCTTCCAAAGTAAATTGAAAAACATCATTGCTGCAGAACATGATAACCACAAATGTTACTTCTTTTATGTAGAAGATCTCAACAGATTCTCTGTAGGATTTCTCATATACCTTCTACAGTATTAAGACCTTTTTAAAATTTTTTTTAAAGATTTTATTTATTTATTTGAGAGAAAGAGAGCATGAGAAGGGGCAGGGTCAAAGGGAGAAGCAGACTTCCTGCCCAGCAGGGAGTCCAATGCAGGACTTGATCCCAGGACTCCAGGATCATAACCTGAGCTGAAAGCAGTCCCTTAACCAACCGAGCCACCCAGGCACCTCTTAAGAGCTCTTAATACCTCAAAGTAATTAGGGATAAGAAAATTTGAAAATCAGCAAGAATAGAGATGGTAGGAATTACTGTAGTTGTCAGTGAGCTTTGATCTCTGTTTTCAACCTCTTCTACTTCCTGCTGCCAGATTCACGTTCTTAAAAAACTGCTTTCGTCGTTGCTTAAAAAAAAAAAAAAACTGACTAAACTTCAGTGCCAGTAGGAAGCAGATCTGTGTATGGCATTCTGGGATCTCTATAATCTGGTTCTAATTTCTTTTCTAGCCATAACTTTATCACGCTACACAAAATCTCTCTCCTGTTTAGCCTTGCACACTTGTCTGTGTACCTTTTTGCGGTTTCCCTGTGTGAATAAACTATTCTTCATGACGTCTTCCCAGATCTTCCTACTAATCTGTTGCTGACTTGGCAACAATACCTCAAAATCTTTATTTTTGTTGTTTTAACAAGTCTTACTGTCTTATAATGCGAATATTCCTTGCAAAGGTAGTTGCTTTCTTTGAACTCTTTTGCAATCTTGTGCAAAACTCCATTTTAAAGAGCAAGGATTATTTGTTGTTATACTTATTTACATCCCTAAAGCACCTTTTTGTGCCATATTTTATATATATATATATATATATATATATATATATAATGTACTAACTAAATATTACTATATAAAAGACTTAAGAGTGCAGAGTCAGTTAGTCTTAGGAATTACTAGTTCTTCATAAAAATTGACAAAGTGATAATATATGGCACTTTTTTTCAGCATGAGTAATACAAAGGTTTGTTGCACCATTTTCCCTCCATGGTTTTACAAGTGGAAGAAGGGAGAGAGGAGCATCTTCCTTTAATTAATTAAAATTTTAACGTCAGTCTGAAAATTTAAGTTTATTCAAGAAAAGGAAGAAAGAAAATAGAAAGATGTAAGTATACATACCTTGGAGTAAGTATTTCCTTGTATTGGAGTTTCTCTAGCTTAGCTGGGGCAACTAATGACATGGGAATCACAATATTATCTATGTCGTAAGAGCTCTCACTTCTCAATCTCCGTCGTGCAGTATTCTGCAAAGTAGGGTCACAGTAGTTTTATAAGATGGCCTCTTCTCATGAGGTATACTATACATGTTTTATAAATATGATAGGCCTGAGTATAAAAGGTTAACAAAAACAAGAACAGTGCCTATCTTGTATAAAACAACACAGTTCCTGCTGGCAGGTATGCAGTGTACATTTGTGTCTGCATACATATAATACATATAAACTTATTTTTAAGACAATAAAAAATATGAATACCTTAAGTTTCAAAACTCTTATCAAAGAAGGTTACCATAAAGTCTCCTAAATGTCAAGAAAATGACCGTTTAACAAACACACTTCCTTATTAGGAAAGACCATGAAAATATTTGGTGTGTTAACTTAGTAAAGATCATTTTTATAATTTTCATTTATGTGTTCCTGGTCCTTGAGCTTTACAGTTTTTTCTAAATCCTTTTGCCTTTTAACCTCTGTTCTCTGACCAGATGATAAAAGCATAAGAACAATATGAGTGCTGGATTCTCATGAAGTTTCATGGTAAGGAGTAGGAACAGTTAGCGATAGTTTTTCACACAAGAAAATAAAATGCCATAATCAATTAGCTCACTAGTAATTAGCTAGTGAGTAATTAGCTCACTAGTTTAAAACAAAAGTTCAATCAAATTTATCGTTACCTAATAAGATATTCCTAAATAAGCCAATATGTTGCTAGCAAAGTAAGGCTGTTTATAGATTAACAAAATATTCTAGTTTATCAGTCAGTTTTAAGTCTACAAAGCAGTTTTAGAGTTCAGTATGCAAAAAAACCTACTTGTGATGATGAATTCTGGGTTCTTGATATAACATTGACATTAGTAACAGCAGTAAAATTGCTATGGGATCCTGGTTCTGTGCGTTGAAAAGCAAATTCTTCAAATCTGGTTCTTTCTCCTGACATGGAAAGAACCATGGAGAATGTCATACATTAACAGGACTGATAGGTATTAAAATTACTTTCCTACTTAGGTAACATAATTCCTTATGTTTGATTTTCTTTTTTAAAATTTATGTATCAAAAATTTAAGGAAATGAAAAAAAAAATCTTACCCACAGTTCTGTCACAATTATTTCCACTTTCAGGGGACCTGGCAAGTTTTTATTCAGTACATCTCATTTATTTAAATATAATCCCTTCTCTTTACTCTGTTCATGTTTTCTGTAATGCCTATTATTTGGAAGTTAACCTCCAGAGACTTACCCCTTAATTTTCTCTACTTTCTCATTTTCTTATATCTTTGACTTTTTATTCTGATTTCTGGGAGATACCCTTAACTTGATCTTCAGACCATTCTACTTGAGACTTTTTCTACTGAAAGTTCTTGGTCTGTCACTCATTTATACTGTCCTTATTTTATGGATGGAATTTCTCTTTTTATCTCAAGATATTGATTAGAACTTTGTTGCTATTCTTGGTATTTTCTGTTTCTTCCATATTTCCTTTTTCCATTTGTTTTGATTCCCTATTTGTCAATATGTATTTATTTATTCACTTTACCACCCTTATTTTACTTCTGAACTTAAAAAGCATTTTCCTAAAATCTAATACCCAGTCCATATTTACATTTTTCTAGTTGCTAAAAAATGTCCTTTATGGTTGGTTAGTAGATTCTTCAAATCACGATCCATATACTGAAATTGGTTATTGTCTTTTAGGTTTCTTGTGGTCTGGAAGAGTTTGTTTTGCATGACATTTGTTAAGGTGTTCTGCATATTAGGGAGTTATCTAGTTAGCTCTTTGTAGTATAGCATCTTACTAGTTCTCTTCCTGTATTTCCATCAAACTTGAAGTTAGATCAATTCAAGTGAAACATTTTATATCTTAGGTAATGTGAATTCATAGTGGGTTTTATTAAGAGAGACAAGTTCTTCTGTGTGTTGATACATATACAGCCCTCAATTTACAATGGTTCAGCTTAGGATTTTTCAACTTTATGATGGTCCAAAAGTGACAGGGCCTTTAGTGGAAATCATACCTTGAATTTTGACCTTTTTCTGGGCTAGCATTATGCAACAGGATACCCATGCTGGGCAGCGGCAACAAGCCACAGCTTCCAGTCAGCCATGTGATCATGAAGATAAATAATCAATACACTTGCAACCATTCTCTACCCATACAACAATTCATACTGTTTCAGTACAGTAGTCAATAAATTACATGGGATATTCAACACATTACTGTTACTTTTTATTTTATTTATATGACAGAAATAGCACAAGTAGGCAGAGTGACAGGGAGAGGGTGAGGGAGAAGCAGACTCTCCACCAAGCAGGGAGCCCCAGTGCGGGGCTCAATCCTAATGAGGACCTGAGCCAAAGACAGCTGCTTAGCCAACTGAAACACCCAGGTGCCTTTCAGTGCTTTATTTTAAAATAAGCCTTGTGTTAGGTTATTTTGCCCAACTTAGGTTAATGTAAGTGTTCTCAGCCCATTTGAGGCTAAGCTATGGGTGGTAGGTTAGTGTTATTAAATACTTTTTTGACTCAAGGTATTTTCAAGTTATCATGGGCTTATTGGAATGTCACCATGTCGTAAGTCAAGATAGGAAGATCTGTATGTGTATGTAAGTTCTTCAAAAGCTAAGGTGTCTTGGTTGTCTCTAAGATTATGGTACTAAAAAGCACAACGCAATCTCTGCTTGTGGCTAGGAGTTTTATTTTGCGCCGTATTAGTTCATCTGGTAGTGATTATCAGGTAGTGACCTGGGCTGATATGGTGGCAGTTCTAGACTAATATCTAGAGATATGAGTGATAAATATGTTAAATCCATTAAGTATAATTACAATCCAGTACATCTTGAATGCAGTTTCTGAATTACTGGGTATACTGACATACTACATCTGGGGAACACTTGACTAATGCATATAGTGTTCTGTCTACTGGAACCATGAACAGGAACAAAGTGTAAATATGTTGCCATTTAAAATGTATATTTTCTGGTAAGTTTTACTTTTTAATCCTTATTTGCAATAACTCTGGAAACTGATAGTCCTAAATCCCTACAACAAACCCCACTTTGTATTACTAGAAGAGTTCTAGTTTCAAAAATATCTGTTGGTCATCTTGGAACTGTAGGTTCCTAAGGAAGCTTCAGTGAACTGACAGTGAACGTGACAGCCATGTACGTACCAGATACGGTTGTAAGGCAACTCTACTGACCTATTTTGAGTCCGGAACACGACGCTGGCTTACGTTCTGTTTAGGAGGACCGTCATGAGACGATAACCCCAGTTAGGGAATATAGGAAGGAAATCCCTGTCATTAAGTGGATGGATGCCCAGTCCACAAACAGTTCTGAACTGACTACATGAATATGCTGTTGAACATTCATAGGACCACGGGTATTTTGTATAATAGGGACTATTCTGGATTATAAATTTCCATGGAGCAGAGGTTCTTTGAAGATAGTTTTATTTGCAGTTTTTAGTACTAGTGCTTATGTCTTCATTTAACCCACCTAATGCTGTTTCACTCAAGTGCCTTTTCTTTCTTCCCTGGAACAGCTGTGCGGAAGATTCTGACCTTGGTTGAGGCTTGCAAATAGGGGAATATCCATTTCTCCATTGATTCAGAGAAGCATTCTGGACTAAAACAAGTAGAAAGGAAATGTGAACTTTTCCTTAACCCATTATGAACATGTTACTGTTTTTACTTAAAACATCGCGGAACATTAACTCACCAGTTCAAAATAAATGTAACGAGAGAGAGACTTACATATCAAAATGGAATGCTCCTAAACTGAAAATACCCATAATAAGGTTCCTTAAAAACATCTTCAAGAAGTGCCCAATTTCCTATAGTTGCTCCATTACTTGAAGTTGACCTTTTCCAAAGTCTTCTCAATTACAAAATCTTGGGTTGGTTCCAGTCTGTAAATCTTGGCTGAATATAATGTGAACCCCTAAATTAGCTCCCCACCCCCTTAAATCTGAAAGTAATTCAGGATAAAGATTCTACAGAATCACAATAAATAGGGACCTCTTGAGCAAGAACCAGATTTCATCAAACTGACAGTACCCAGCACCATTCTTTCACTTTTTAAAAGCACTGGTATTCTCAAACTTTTATGTCACTTAATATCTCTGTGCCTCAGTTGCCTTATCTGTAAAATAGGAGTAAGAACAGCTGTCATGGGCTTAATGAGGATTAAATGAGTTAATCCCTATAATAGTCATTAGAAGGAGATCTGACATGGTAAGTATTCAATAAATGTAGTTTTATCATTATTATTGCCTATCTGAACCCCCTATTTCCAGTACTGGCTTAATAACCAACTTGGCTTCATTTTTGAAGTGTTAGAGATGAAAAAGAAATGCAGGCTGAAGTGCCAAATCTCACCAACGCTGGGGGAGGGGGAGGATGGCTACTAACAATAACGGATTCTGATTTCAAGATGACAAAGCACTCTAAAAATAACAGACAAAAGATTTATACATAGACATGTCTAGATCTGCATATACACATCCCCATTAGCAAGCAACAAAAGGGAACTTGTAAGTAAAGCAGAATTTGTGTGGAATCTCTGAAAGACATCATGCGGAATTTGAAGAGCAACCAGTGCAAAAAAGCACGTGGGAAAGTGCTGCCACAAAAATAGGATCATCAGAGGTGCTCTAGACCTGGAGGAAAGGGAAATGGTGCAGGACAATTTACCTAGATGGATAGTTATCTGATAGGGTAACTACACATGCCAACTCCTCAGCCACACTCCTTGAGATTATTTGCCTTAATAGGTAACAGTCTGAGAGTCTTGGGCAGAGAAATGGATGGGGGGAGAGAGAAAGCAATGCCCAGTGCCTCACTTTGAAGTATGTCCTGTCTGTCCCTAACTGCTTCTGAAAATACTACCGAGTGCAAATTTCTGTGCCATCCATGAAAAGGATCTCATAAATAACATTGGCAGAAAGTATTAATGGTGAATATCAACTTTAAAGGTGAGAACACAGAACTCCAGTAGTCTGCAGAGCACCATAAAAAATGAAGTACAACCACCCAGAAACAGTGAATGGATTCACAGAATACAAACAAGTCTTTTAAAAACAACATTGCCAAAAGAAATAGGCAAAAGGTTCCTTAAGAGAGACCTCAGAGATGGAAAATATAATTGCTCAAATTTAAAAACAACCATCACTACCAGGTCTGAGTAATAGAATGGACACGGCTGAACAGGACAGTCAGTGGGTTGGTGGGGGAATTGTACAAGTGAAAGGAAAAGAGTGGTAGAAAATATGGGGGGAGAAAAGGACAAAATGGGGCAACATAACAGAATGAGAGGCAAAGTTGAAGAAATGATAGACAAAAATTTTTCCATTAAGATTTTAAGAACTCATTTGAGTGTCAAGTGGGGAAAGAAAAAATCCTAATCATACATCACTTCACAACAAGGATACCCTAAAAGTTACCAGAAAAGGGATTAAAAAGATTACTGCAAAGTCATGAGGATCAAATTGACAAGGCCAAAGTAAACGATGGAAAACAGAATAGTGACTTTAAGGAGCTCAGGGAAGGAGGGGTGCCTGGGTGGCTTCAGTTGGTTGAGTACCCAACTCAGTTTTGGCTCCATTCCTGATATCAGATTGTGAGATCAGTGCAGAGTCTGCTTGGGACTTCCCTTTCTCTTTGCCTCTCTTTCAAATCTTTAAAAAAAAAAAAAAAATTAAAGAGCTCAGGGAAAATGGCAGGATTCTAAAATGGCCCCCAAGATTTCTTACCACCCAAAAGAATGCAGAGAAAGATGTTAAATATAAAACAAAATGAATTGGGGGGCACCTGGGTGGCTCAGTGGGTTAAGCCTCTGCCTTCAGCTTGGGTCATGATCCCAGGGTCCTGGGATCGAGCCCCATGTCGGGCTCCCTGCTCCATGAGGAGCCTGCTTCTCCCTCTCCCTCTGCCTCTTGCTCTGCCTACTTGTGGTCTCTGTCAAATAAATAAATAAAATCTTAAAAAAAATAATAAAATAAATGAATTGGCAGGCATAATTTCAAACTCCTTTCTAGAAGGGTGTAACTAGAATTGTGAGAGGTTTTAAAATAATTAATATGCCTGATACATGCAGGTGTCCCAGTAATGCTCTCTCTTGTTTTAATGGAAACATTTCTGGAGTATTTTAAAACAAATACCAGTCAATTCGCCCTTCTAAAAGCAATTCACCATCTTCCTTATTTCTAGAACCAAATTAACCTTTTTGAAGAAACTTCAGCCTTTCCTAAGGTGGCACTTTTTACTGAATTTACTTGAGTCTTCTTTATACGACTTTTTCCTTAGTATCATAAGGTTGCGGTGGACTCTTGAAACAGTAGGAAATATAGGACAATTCAAAATCAGACTGCACATTCTCTTCACCTACTTACAACCCTCTTAGCCTTTCAGTTCTTGCTCTCCAAAATCTCCTGCATTCTATCCTAAAACACACCTTGACCTAGTATCTCTATTTCCTGCCTTCCCTTTCTTCCCTTTGATTTATTCATTCAGTAACTATAGAGAGCTGATTACATGCCAGGCACTGTGTTCTACCCTTGGGACACTGGTGAGCAAAAACAGTCATGATCCTTGCTACTAATGAAGTTTATAAGCATCTCAAAAACTGTAATCAATGCATAACAGAAAAGAGAAGTACTATTCAGAGAAGTTAATGGGAGTACGTAACAATAAGAGAGCGCTAGGAAAAGTACCCAGGCAAAGCGACAAGATTTCAAATATGAACAGAAATCACTGATGGCAAGGGGAAGGAAAAGAGAATGGTACGTACAAAGGCCCAAAACAACAAATAAATTTGGCAGTGGAACAGCAAGTAGTATAGAGTAAGGCAGGATAATGAGAAAGAACCATGAACAGGTAGGGGTTGTCCTAGGTAGGGCTTTAGGGGTCTCCTATAATATTCCCTCTGTCACACATTTTAAGGAATGGAGGTAGGTAACAGTGATATAAGTAGACTTACATTTTCCAAAGATCACTAGCTACAGGGATTGGAGGGAAAAAACTGATCAGGCTGTTTCAGCAGTATAGATGAGGGATCATCAGATTGGACTGTGAAAGTGGTAGAAATGAAGCAGGCCGTGTTTGAGACAGATGAGTAAGATTATATTGACAGTGGGTTTAGATATGAGGAAGTGTAGGGGGAGAAGCTAGAGCCCTAGGTTCTGGCTTGCTTGTGTGGGTTGTGGTGCCACTGTTCCTCTCTCTGGCCACTCTAAAATATAAACTTCATTTTGACATAATTTCAGACAAAGAGAAAGCTTGCAATAGTAAAAAGTAGTCCATATACCCTTCATTCAGATTCCACAAATGTTAAGTTTATATTTGCTTTATCTTTCTGAACTCCAATGAGATTAAGTTGCTGACACAATGTCCTTCTAAATTTGTCGACGTGTATTTTTCAAAAACAAGGGCATTTTCTTATATGGCCACACAACTGTCAATCAAATTAATACTATTAACTATGGACTCATTTAAATTTCACCAATTATTCCTATAATGTTCTTTATAGAAAATTCTGTTCATTCTGCATTTAGTTGTCGTGTGTCTAAAGTTTTCTTGTATCTGCAACAGTTCCACTGTCTTGTCTTTCATGGCTGCATATTTTGATGAGTACAGGCCCTTAACTGGCTTTGCCTGGTATTTCCTCAGGATTGGCAACTAATAGTTTACTCTGCAACCCACTACAATTTGTCTTTTCCCTACTTGTTATCTGAAGTCAGCTGTGCATTCTTGAAATGCTTCTGGATAACAGAGGATAAATAAAAGCTATGTGACAAGGCACACAGACATCCATCTACTTACCTTCATACAATTGACCCTATAGTACCAGGCATTTTGTATACACTTGAACACATCACACTGTTTTTTGTCTCCATGACGAATCACATCTGTTTCCATTTTAAAACCAGTATGGGCCAACAGCATTTGAACAACTTAGGACTTGTTAGAAATGCAGAATCAGACCCCATTCCAGGCTTACTGAAGCAGAAACTGCATTCTAACAACATCCCTCAAGTAATTTGTTTGCACATAAAGTTTGAGAATGAATGATCTGGAACACTTTGCTCTTCTTCCTCTAAATTCCAAGTAAGGACTTAAAGCCGCACTTGGCATCACCATCTTTCTGAGTTCCACTTGCCCTCTCCCCATCACCCTTACCCGCTTCCTTCCCCTTGTCTTCCCCTAGGCAGTGAGTTACACTCTCCCTCTTCTTTTTAGAATATTTTTATCGTATCTGTGCCCACATCATTTTAATAGTTACTTGTGTGTCTGCTTCCTCTTAATACATTATAATTTCTTTGAGTCTCTGTGATTCATCAGTCTGCCTGGCACAGAGTAAGTGGTCGATAAATGTTGAGCTCTAGAGTTTTATTTAATTCTACAGAAATCACTAATGACAAATAATAATGACCAGTATTTCAGACATGCCTTACATAGAATGAAATCTAATTAATGCTTAATTATTTGAGTTGGGAGTGGTAGGGAAAGAAAATAAGGGAGGAGAGATTGGGATACATAGAATATACTTCACTGATTCACCTAATAATATTGCACCATTCGTCTCAAATGTCTTCTGTTCTAGCTCTTAATTCCCCATTACTAGCATGTCATTACATCACTGATATGTTACTATTACTTCTGTGCCTAACACATTTACACTGCCCTTTTTTTTAATTTTCGAAAATAACATTAGAAATAATAAAACCACCTAATCTCACTTATCTAACAGCATATAATTTCATTTTTGTATATTTCTTTCAGTCATACAAATGCATAATTCATATTCACATTTCAAATGTAATTTCATTTAAATATGTGTACAATTGTATTTCTCAAATTTGATTAATTCACCCATTGTTATTTTTTCAGATGGTTACCTCACATTCTTCTGGTTAGAGATAATATCATTTAACTATCCTCTAGCTATTAGAGCTAGTTGTTATCATCATGGTATTTCTATTATGGTCATTCTTAAAATAATCACCTTCATGCACACATTTTTTTCTTTTTCTAAAATTAACCTCCGTATAAATTGCAAGTAGTAGAATTGTATCATGAAAAAGTATCTGAACGTAAACCTATATTTTCCTATATTTCTTTAGTCTTTTTTTCCCTAAGCATAGACAACTGTTCCTTGACCTTAGCGCTTTCATTTTTTAAAAACTTTTTACTGTGAAAAAATTTCAACAAACACAAATGAAGAAGAGAAGAATGAACTCCCCTGTACCTATCATTCATCATCAGTGATGACAAACTGGTGACCATCCCCAACTTTTTTTTGCTAGCCTATTTTAAAGCAAATCCCAACTACAGATATGTGAGTTTAAATTTCTAACAAACATAAAGAGTGTGTGTGTGTTATGTAACCACACGTATTATTACATCTAACAAAATTAATATCCAACAGCCATGCGTGTTCAAATTTCATTATCTCAAAAATTGTGTGTATGTGTACAGTTGAGTAGTTCAAATCAGGATCTCCAAAAGACCCACACATTCCATTTGGTTGATTGAAGAATGGACATTTCTACATGGTTATAATTGTACCATACATAGAAGTAAAACACTTTTGTCTTCTTCTGTTACTTGACATTCTTTGATGTTTCTATGAACTTTTATGTTTACATGAACTTTTAAGATATTTTTAAAAGGTACACATTCCACTGTGTTGGTTAACCATATCTCAGTTATACTCTTTACCTTATTTCCAATTGTTCATTAACACAAATAATAGTAAAATGAATAGATTTGTACATAAAGGTGGTTTTGTATTTAGCATTAGGCTAGGTTACCAGAAATGAATTTACTGGGTCAAAATTCAGGGCTAACAGTTTAGTAAACATTTGCACAAATAAATTATTTTTCCTCAGTGAGCTTATTTTAAAAATACATAATTTAAAGGCATTGTAATTAATTTCACAGTACTTCCCAAAAGGTTTGTATTCTTAAAAGATTTTTATTTATTTATTTATTTATTTATTTGTCAGAGAGCTAGAGCACAGGCAGGCAGAGCCGGAGGGAGAAGCAGACTCCCTGCGGAGCAAGGAGCCCAATGTGGGACTCGATCCCAGGATGCTGGGATTGTGACCTGAGCCGAAGGCAGCCGCTTAACCGACTGAGCCACCCAGGCGTCCCCCAAAAGGTTTGTATTCTTAATGCTACCTTAAATATTTGAGGGTCCTGATTTTACTACACACATCTTGTCAGAATTATTATAATGTTTAAATGTCTTAATATAATCGGAAAAAATAGTAAATATTTAGCAGAGTATCTACACATAAGCACTCCGTAAATGTTACTTATGATAATAATTTTTATTATCACCATCAAATACATCTTTTTTTTCTTCTAATTTTTTTAAGTCAGGACTTTTAACATTTAACTCTTTAATCCATCTGGAATGTATTTAAAATAAATTGAAGATGGATGAACATTAATGTACTATAGGTGTACTATAGGAGGTAGAAATCTTTTTTTTTTTTCCAAAAAGTCATTGTTTAATCCACTGATTTTAGAACAAACTTAGTTGTTCTAAAACATGGACTCTGAGCCAGAGTGCTTGGACTTGAATTCTGACCCTATCACTGTTCAAATGTGACTTTGGGAAAATTAGTCAAGGAAAATAATAATAATATGAAAATTAGTCAAGGAAAATAATAATACTCACTTTACAGGATTGTACAGATTAAAGCAACCAACAGATATAAAGCCCTTCAACCATTAGTGGCGTGTAAGGAATGCTTCATAAGAATTACTGTTATTATTTATTGATGAGGCCATCCTTCCCACACTGATAGGAAAAACCACATTTTTATCATATAGTGGCCAGATGGGTCTGTCTCTAGGCTATTTAGTTTCCTTGATCTGGCTTCCATCAACACCACAATAAAATAATGCTTATAGCTTTATAATTTTGTTATCTGGCACTTCCCTTTTACTTCCTTTTTGTTACCTGGCACTTCCTTTTAAAAATTCTATTAGCTAGTCAACATTTTTTTTCTCGCAGATAAACTTCAGAATAACTTTGTTCCAAAAGAAAAGAAGAATACTGGCTCAGTCAGTTAAGCATCTGCCTTTGTCTCAGGACATGATCCCTGAGTCCTGGGATCGAGTCCCACATTGGGCTCCTTGCTCAGCAAGAAGTCTGCTTCTCCCTCTGCCTGTTACTCCCCCTGCCTGTGCTCTCTCTGACAAATAAATAAAATCTTAAAAAAAAAAAAAAAAGAATACCTCTATGATTCTAAGTAATGTTATAAATTAAACTGGGGGGAAAAAAAACATCTTAAGTTCCAATACTGTCCTCTTTTTTTTAAGAAGTGGGCTCTATGCTGGGTTCGGAGCCTAACGTGGAGCCTGAACTCATGACCCTGATATCAAGAGCTGGACACTTAACTAAGCCACCCAGGTGCCTCAGACAATACTGTCTTCTGATAAGAACAGGTTATTTCTCTCTATAGGTACATATTCTTGTGTTCCTCAGTAAACTTTTTAAGTTTTCCGTGTGTAGGTCCTTACTAAGTTTAATTAATCCTAGATATTTTATATTTTCAATTAATGTGTCTAGTAAAATTCCTTCACATATTCTAACTGGTTATTACTGGTATTTATAAAAGCTAATTTTTGTAAATTTATTTTAAAATCTACTTTTCAGAACTCCAATTCTAACAGGCACTGAGTGGACTTAAGTTTTTGAGGTAGATGATTATTTCATCTGGAAGTAATTTCTCTTAGTTTATATGGCTTTTTTGATGTTAAGATTTTCGCTTTGTAGATAGTCAAAACATGTTGATGTTTTTCTTCCTTCTGATTGTTTCCAAGCACAATGTCCCTGCCCCCATTCATAATACTCATAACTATTTCATTATAACTCTTCTAGTTTTATTTTATAATGTTAGTGTTTTATTTCATCAAATTCTTGGAACCAACTAGAATTTATTCTGATATATGGTATGAAACAATTATGTAAACAAAATTTTCCCCCAAAGACTTACTATTTATTGAATAATACTCCATGTTCTCATTGATTTACAATTTTTCCCTTATATAATAAAGTATAAGCTATATAGTCTGCTTCATGGATTTACTTTCTTAAATGTATACGAAATCTATTCTAATAACTATTACAGATTTTTATTATGTTTCCATATGTGGTTAGGATAGATTCTCTTAATACTTTTTCCAGCAGTTACTTTTGTATTTTCCCATTTATCTTTCCCAATGGGCTTTACACTTAGTTTGTTAAGTTAACCAAATTCTATTAAGACTTCAAGTTACATTGCATTAATCATATATACCAACAGGAAGAACTGATATCCTTATCAATTCCCATCCTCTAGGAATGCTGTATTCTCCATGTGTAGATTTCCTTTTATATTTATTAATAAAATTTCATAATTTTCATTAAGTATCACATTTCTTATTAAGATCACTCCTATGTATTATCTGTTTGTGTATGTGTGTAATTTGTAAAAAGTGAATATTAAAAATTAAGGATTTACATTTTGTTCCTTTGTTAAATTTTATTTCCTTAGAAAGCAAAAACAGTAAGTATCTGAAAGATGTAAAAACATATAAAGTACAAGATTTGTAAATGACATACCAGGTGATGGAGATATGACACAGTCTCCTACAAATTTATTTTCAGCAAGATCTCCTTTTATTTCAGTCTTTTTAAACAATGTTTCAAAGTGAAAATGAAGAGGCACATCTGGAAAAATAAAGTAAAAAAAAAGTACTTTTAGTGAATACGATTTTATATAGATTCTAATATTAAGATTGCTTTCTTTCTCTAAGTAGCACATACGCTTAGAAAAATAAGCAAAAACTCGAACTGTCCTATCAGAAGTGGCAAAATACTTCATTCAAGCATACAGACGGCAGTATTTTGGAAATTACTGATTATATGCACTAAATAAAAACTCTAATGATGACTAAGTTCATAAACCTAAAAATAATAGATAAGATGATCAAAATTATAAGCATTAAGTACTATTCCCAGATAAAAACAAATGTATCCAAAGGTCTTGAGTAAAACATACATCCAGACTTGGCTCACTCTAAGTCCATTCCACCCTGCCCATACAACATTTACATTTGAAATAATGAGGTTTCAGAAAGGTATGTTTCAAGTACTTGAGAGAAAAACCACTATAATTCAGAAGCTACCTTTGATGAAAATACTAAGTTTCACATTCCCTTAGTTTACTAGTATTATGAATCACAAAATATGCTTTTACAAAGATTAAAACACATTTACAGACTAGCTCTCTTCCTTTAAATAGAGACTTAGATGTCAATTCCCTATATTCTGTATTCTTACAACCAAAAGAGGAGCTAAATAATAAAGTAGATGTGCTTCACATTTATTAAAGTTTTTCTTCCTCAATCAAGAATACAAAAACAAAACCATCTTCAAAAGTATTTAATAGAGACACCTAAACTTCTCCCTAAGAAACAACAAGAAATATTTTATAAAGCAGTTGCTATATTGAAAGTTTTGCTACTGGAAAAAACACTAATTATGAACACCTAAATCAGAACATACCCAAAACAGGTCTGGATTTTAAACAAGAAGTCTCTCTCCCTTAAATATTTTAATAATAGATCCAACTCAAGTGTGGAAAAATATACAAAAAAAAAAAAAAAAAGGTTCATGCGTTTCAACATGGAGTGTCCTCCAAAGGGCCAGAATAGAGGTAGGAAAGATTTCAATCCTAGCACTACTATACTATGACCGTACAAAAATGAAACTAAGATTACAAATCAAATATGTTATTTAAACATTTCAGGAATCCAATATTTTCCAATTACTAAAATGTAAGTTTATTTCTCCAAAGAAATATCACTTACTATTATAAAGTAAATATCACCTATTCTACCACTGTTCGTCATGAGTTGTGAGAAAACATGATGTAACTAGTGAAGAACCTTGTTCCACCCATATACCTTCCTTAGTCCCCACAATCTGAGCTTTGGGGTTTTATAAGAATATTTCATAACACTTTAATACACTTACTAGTTTACATTTCAGTTGTCTCAAATGAGAATGCAAGTACTTTGAGGGATTTATTTGTATTTATACTCTTAGTACTTCGTAAATAGTAGGTGATTTTTGTTAAATGAATGCAAGAAGAAATGAATAACCCAATTAATAGGTGGGGAAGTTAATCTTAACTTACTGGAAGGGACATAAGAGGATTAAGTGAAGGATAATTATGCCAGCTATCAGGGTTATATCTTCAGAGAAATAAATGCAGCAGGAGAAAACAGACGGTGAAGAGTAAAGGTTAGAGTGTGGCTCTGGAGTACGTCTACCTCACATCAAATCCTGCCTCCTTCATTTACTAGCTGTATAATATTGGAATAATAATTTAACATCTCTAAGCCTCAGTTTTTTTGTATGTAAGATAAAGAGGAAAATATGAAAATAGAGATGAAAACATCTCTAAGCCTCACTTTTTTATATGTAAGATAAAGAGGAAAATATGATGGAAGAATTATACAAGAAAATGTAATGTGCTTACAGGTATGCTAAGCCCAAATGTTAGCTGCATTACCATTGTTATACTTATCACTGTTTGTTTCTATTATTAAGCTTTCCTTAAAGACAGAATACCATAGTTCCTGTCAGGAACTTAATTCTAAGTATGGTGTAGCTAAGGAACCACTCGAATAATGGTAAAAAAAAAATAAACTAAGATTCAGGATTCAGGGCAGGAACAGGTACAGAAAATAGTGCTTTACAAAAAGGAGCAGTCCCTGGATGATGAAAAAAAAAGCTGGAAAGGAAACAAAAGCCCATCTGAGATGTCTTCCCTTGAAGAGAAGAACCTGAGATAACCAGTGTGAAGACTGTTTCTTTTCTGACCCTCGTATCTACTTCATTTCAATATAGAAACAACTGGAGGGGTGACTGGCTGCTCAGAAGAGCATCCAACTCTTGACCTTGGGGTTTTGAGTTTGAGTCGGGGAGGGGGGGCACTGCACATAGAGATTACTAAACAAAAACCCAACCAAACCAAACAAAAAAAAAACTTAAAAAAAAAAAAAAGAAAAAGAAAAACAGAAACAACTAGAACAGTTCCAACATAAACCAAGAACTAGAAACTTAAAGGGGTATGGGGCTGTATGTGCCTCATTCACTCAGTTATAGATTATAGATTCTCTCGAGGTTCAAAAGATGATATACCTAAAGATGGGCAATTTCTTATCTGAGGAAACTCAATGTTGAGTATAAGCAGAGGAATATTATATAGCAGAGAAAAATCCATGCAAGCCAACACATTAGGGGGAAAAATAAAACCAATTTACTGAGAAACATTTCAACAGCATAGTCACTTTATCAATAAAATTCTAAAAATTTAACAATGAAAAGATCAAAAGTTAATTATTTCCCAATATAACTCAAAATGGTTTCCAATGAATTTAAGAATCAACTTGCAAAAACGGAACAAAAACGGAACATTAACTCACACAATTAATACCTCTATGAAAACTGTTTAGTTCTAATATCCAATGGCAAAATAATTGATAAAATCTTATTCTAGATTCCTTGTACCTATAGGATTAGACTTCACCACAGAAAATATTCAGAGTTTACTTAGAATTATTTTTTTTTATAAGTAGGCTTACCTGATGGCAGTGATAGGACAGAATGGAAAGAGGAGTCCAATTCTGATACATGTTCTCTTAATATCTGAGATTTTGAATTGTGTTCACAGCTACTCCAAGTTGAAGCTGATTGCAAGCAAGGCATTTGTGTGGTATTTAAAAACGTTGTTTCTTTTGAAGGCAAAGTCTGCAAAGAAAAAAAAAAACACTTCATTTTTGCTTAAAAACTGAATCAGAGAGGGTATACTAGTTATAGAGTACAGTATCTGAATGACACTAGCAAGTCCTGGCTTAATAAGTCACCTTAGAGAAAAAGCTTGAAAATGAAAAGGGTTTATGAGAGGTTATTAAAGACCATAAATGTGATGAGATTTCACTAATCTCTTTTCAGATTTTCAAAAAGAAGAGCAATGTCTGTGAAAACGGGTCTTCCCCTCAGCTTATGAAATGAGTTTGAAAGAAAGAGAAATGAGTTTGAGGAATGTTGGGTTAAAAGAAAATAGCTATATGCCACAATGGTGAGAACTGCTAAGAGCAGGTGCTATGTTAAGATTAAGAATTGTGCAAACTGTTTTCTTCCTTGCAATCTGTTACAGTCAGTGAATGAAACTTGAATCCCTGCCTTAAATTCCAATGCCAGACAATGTCTACACTGGAATTATTGTTAAGTACTATGAGCACTGTACATGTTTATACTAAGTAAAACTTAATACATTAAAAAAGATAAAACACACACTATATGCTACATGAGTTTGTGTTTCTGAAAATAAAGTTAAGATTTGAGTCCAGGAATTTTAAGAAAACCACATTGCTAAATCAAGAAAAGCTATGTTGCTATATTAAGAAATACATATTCTGTTTAAAAACTGGATTTTAGGGGCACCTGGGTGGCTCAGTTGTTAAGCGTCTGCTTTCGGCTCAGGTCATGATACCAGCATCCTGGGATCAAGCCCCACAATGGGCTCCAGCCCCCCATTGGGCTCCAGGCCCACACTGGGGGGGGGGGGGGTCCCTGCACAGCAGGAGGCCTGCTTCTCCCTCTCCCACTTCCCCTGCTTCTGTTCCCTCTCTCACTGTATCTCTCTGTTAAAAAAATAAAATCTTTTTTTAAAAACCCTGGATTTTAAATTATACTTTATGGTTATAAAATTAGTATACAAAAAAGATCTAAACAATAGATAAAATATTTTAAAAATTAACAGAGCTCATTTATACTCCTTCCCTCCCCCTTAGCCTCTACCTCCTGTAATAACATTTGGACTTATTTTGTTTTTTAATCTAACTGATATTTAAAATGCTTATAACAACAAAGATCTTTAGATCCTATTTTTAAATGCTTTTATTTTATAAACTTACATTAGGTTTGTCAACTTTCTTGAGTTTGAGATTCCTAGCTAACCTTGGCAATTTCTGTTTCCATAGCACCTTAGGCATATCTATCATAGCATTCAACTAGACTTCCTCTGGACTACTATTATTAGCTCCTTGAAGGTTGGGATTAGTATTTGTTCAATCCTGTATTCGCAGAAACCTGACACAGTCCCTGACACATGGTTGAAACTTGAATGCTAACTAACTGAATTTAATCTTATTTGCCTTAATAAAAATTTAAGTGAATACAAACTCTCAAATGCATGTTTGCCTGAGATTACTTCACTGGGGAAAAAATAGTTCCTGTTAATATATGCTAAAATTTATCATGTAGTGACTTCTGTTTACATTCCACTAGCCAAGCCCTAAGTCATACCTAGCTGCAAGGAGGGTTAGGAAATGCAGTCTTTCTGGGAGGTCAAATAAACTGCTGAGTTTTTATAAAAAGATATCACATTTATACATGATTATAATAATGTGATTCATTTCCAAGATTTATTCTAATGACGTTTTATGTATATACTTATGAGAACAGTTGCTGTTTCTTACCTTTACAAGATACGCTGGTACTCTGGACTCACTCTAGAATTATTTACCCTTTTATGATGTACTTCAGAAAGGTATAAAAAATACTTAAAATTACAAAGAAAAAAATGTGCTAACCTCCCTTTTCCATATATGGATAGAGTGTTATGAATAAAAGGTGATAAAATCTGAATATTTACCATATAATTAGTTTTCTCTTGAAATTTTTCCAAATCCAGGAAACCCATTAGCCAATTTGAAACTATCCTAAATAATTATGGAGACAAGTGAGGGGCATCTAGGAAAAGGCCTTTTTGTTCCCTGCAGAGAAAGTGAAGCCCAGGAGGCTGAAAAGGAATGGATGGAAAAATAAGAGAAAGACCAGGAGATTCTTGCCAATAAAAATTCATATGTCTAGAGGGTGTGATCAACAGTACCATATGCTGCATAAGATTCAAGCAAAATAAAGCTAAAAAGTATCCACTAAGCTTTTTAGCTTTAATAATGAAACATTTCATATATACAAAAGTATATAATTTATAGGGAAGGCATAAAATTTTAAAAAGACAACTATACTCACCATCCTATTTCAAGAAACAACAGTACCAAGATCATTCTGCTTTCCCCCTCCTGTCCTAGCCGCATGAACCTGCGGCAGAAACTGCTACTTTCTTCCCAATACCTGTGCTCTCATTCTCTCTCTTCTAGAACTCCTGATTTTCAGCTAGGCATATTTTTCAAGTCTCCTTGGATCTAAAAATTACTATACAATAGATTAAGTCTAGCCAGAAGACCATGAAGAGAAGTCGTAAGTGTGACTTCCTTTTTAAGGTCACTTACTCCTCCTTTCTTCCACATTACACATGAAATGTAACTGGTGGTGAGCCACCATAACCACGTGGATAAAGAGCTCCAAAGAGGAGGAGCCTGGCTCCTAGATAACCATGTAGAACCTAACTGTCATGCCTAGGATATTTTCAACCTGTTACAAGACAAACTTGTGTCTTGCTTATGTCACTATGTGGGTTTCTGTCAAATGCAGCTGAACCTGTACCTTAGCTAACACAGCGTGCCTCCTTAATCACATATTTTCTCTCATACCTCCAGAAGTCGCTATCTTGAACTTTAATTTTATCGTTTCCTTAATTTCCTTTATAGTTTTTCCACATAAACATACGTAATTCTATATAACTTTTTAAAATCTGTATGCTTTAAAATGTATTTAGACAGAATACTGTTAATGTATCTGCTTGCTGTATTATGTACACGCAATGCATCATTCTCCTGTTTATAAATATCTAGAGTATTTCTTTTTATTATTATGAACAATGCTAGTATGAATATCTTATTTGTCTCCTGGTACATGGCCATAAGAATTTCTCTGGAGTATACTGCTAGAAATGGAAATGCTAGGTTAAAGAAACCCATGAGTGCACAGATTCAACTTCACCAGATGATATCTTGTATTACAAAGTAGTCTTACCTAAATTTACAGTCCAACCAAGCAGACCCTGGATCTAACTGCTTTAGATTCATGCCAACAGGCATATTGTCAGATTTTACTTTTGCAAATCTCAGAGCATACAAATATTATCTCATGGTTGAAACTTGCATTGTTCTGCTTACAAGTTGACCACCTTTTCATACCTAAAATTGGTCATTCAGTTTTCCTTCTTTTGGGAAATACATATTTTGCTGATTTTTCTCTTGGAATGTCTTTTTCATACTGATTTTTAATGTTTTCTTTACACACTCTAGAAAATTACAAATCCTTTGTAGGTTCTATACAGTGCTCCCTGTCTGTTCTTCTCTTTTTACTTTCTTTGCAATGTCTTTTCATCAACAGATGTTAACAAATGTTTCCTTTACATATAGTTCGCACTTTGTGTCTGTATGAGGAAGTCTTTCCCTACCCTAAAGTCAAAAGATACACTTCCACTTTTTTCCCCCTACGTTTTAAGGTTTTGCCTTTTGTATTTAGGTCTTTACCTGAAACTGATTTTTTTGGTGCATGATGTGAATCCAATCTCAATCTGATTTTTTTTCTTATATGAATCATCAACTCACCGAACACTTTTTATTGAACATCCTCTTCTAATTGATCTACCATGCTACCTGTTTTATATATATACACCACATTCCATGTATGTGTCAAGCTATTTCAGGAATCTCTAATATTATACCATTTGTGTCTATGCTAATAATCAATGTCTTAATTACTACAGTGTTTACATCTTGATATATGATACTCCAAGTTTCTCCACCTTGTTTGTCTGGGGTGTCTTCGCTATTACTGGCTTTCACTCTTCTGCAAAATTTTAGAAACAGCTTAATTTCCACCAAAAACCTGCGGAGTTTTCTACATTTCATCTGTAAATCACTTGGGAGATGTTCGATTTTGGTATCATAACTAAAGGTTATCAATCCATGAATATAATATATATCATTTATTTAGGTCCTCTTTAATTTCTTTCAATAAAACTTTATCATTTTCTTCTCTAAAAGTCTTCACAGCTTTTGTTAGCTGTATTTTTCTAGGCACTTTAGTATTTATTTTTTCAATTGTAAAAGAATATAAAAATAAAATCGACTTTTATATTTTGAGCATAACCCACAGCTTTGCTAAACTTCCTTTTTTAAAAAACTTTTTTCTAGTAATATATTTGTAGTTTCTTTTAGATTTCTATTATCCAAATATATTATCTACAAATAGTGACAGTTTAGTTTCTTTCAATTCTAAAATTCTATTTTATTTTATCATATTTAGAGGGTTCTAGATGGGCTCACCAGTTTAGGGATGATTAGAAATGACCGAAGAAGACATTCTTTTGTACCATATTATAAAGGAAATGCTTTTAATTTCTAAGAATCAAGAATTATATAGATTAAGAATAATTGTAGATTTTTTAGGGGGGATCATACTCTTTATCAGAATATGTTCATAGGCTGCCAAAATATTTTTTTAAATATATTAATGTTGAATTTAACCATATACTTTTTGTGAACCCATTAAAATGATTACACCTGGTTTTCCTTTTTAAATTTAATAATGTGGTGAATTAATTAATAAAGTTTTAAATGTCAAACCAAACTTGGATTCTTCTTGAAGAATCTTGCTGGGGTTTATCAATTTTTTTTCAAAGAACCAGCAATTAGATTTGTTTACTTTCTATATTGTATAGAAATTTATTGTGTATGTATGTTTGTTTTATATTTCATTGATTCCTATCTTGATTTCTTTGGGATCAATCAGATTTATACACTTTTACTTTTTAGTGGTTTCCCTAGAGA